AAGCTTATATTTTAATAATAACTCAGTCTATTAATTATTATTTATTTTTATCCAAGAAAATGATTTAATTGGAATGCATATATCAATAAATACAATAAACCGAGTTGAATCTTTGTACCCCATAAGCACTTAATAACTTACTATCTTTCATTGACTCAGATAAGTGGGTATTTATATAAATAATGTCCTAAATAAATAATTTGATAATACATTTATTCTGTTGTGATTGCAGTAACTTTTATGTTCTTTGTGACGCAGTGCAGTACAGATCTACTCGCCATACCACGCTTTATCTACTAAATGGGCTTATATAAATATCGATGTAGTGCGTGATTTGTTTACACGATAAATTAAACATAAAAATCCTATACATATATGATAAGCATTACACGTTATTTGACTACAATATTGGCAACGTAACATCGTCAATAAAAAAACAGGTATGTAGGTAGTCCGATAGTGTATTTAAATACATATTAAAAAGTATTGGAATACATATTACAGTATCGTAGTGTGAACCCCTGAATGGGCTAGATGACAGATGTTAACGATAATTTTATAATTATTAATTTTTAATCGTGATCAAAATATATTGATTGATCAGGGCATTAAGCTACATCTTTAATACTGCAATGTAGATCAATCGAATTTCATAATAATGGCTTAAGCCTTTTGGTAATAAACAAACTTACTTTCACATTTATATTCTTTATAATTATAAAAATCTCGTGTCACGATAATTTCCAAAACCACTTTACAAATTATAATAAAATTTGTAAAAAATTCATTATGATATGAAGAAATGGACCTGGTAACTGGAGATATGTAGTAGGCGAAACTACGTTTACTGGGTCAGCTAATAGAAAATTAATTCATCTTTCATTATTTCATTACCCATCTACACGGCTGTAATATTTTATTCATATAATAAGCAATTACATTAAAATGCCCTAAAAATACAACAGCAGGCGTATAATATTTTTAAAAGGTAGTTTAACTTATCGGTTAGCGATCGACTCCACAGCCAGTTTACAATTAAGTCCTATTGTAATTTACACCTTACCTACTGTAATAATGAATACTGATATTGTGATAGTAAAAGCGATGAGTCACATTCCGTCTTTGTGCTGTGACGAGCCAGTTCAACTTCATTCAATATCTTTAAAAATCGATCCAAAGTAAATATTTTAAACATAGATATAGGTCCTACAAATAACATTTTTTCTATTCAGTGCATATAAAGTCATATATCGCAAATATATTATACTAGCGATATATCCCGGCTTTGCATGGATAGATAGTATTTTGGAAAATGATATATAACCTAAATGTTATTTGCTGATAATATAGTTTTACATAGGTGAAAGAATTTTTAAAATCGGCTGAGGAATTTTTGAGTTTTATCCATTACAAGCAACCATTAAATCTTTTCTCTTGATAATATTAGTATAGATCTATGGTAAATAGACAAATAAATGAAAGCGAGATAATTATGTATAACTATTACATTTATATTACATATTTATTTATATACAATATAGGCCATTGTTATAGGTAAGGATTTTGTCTAGGAATGAAGAAGGAAGAAGAATTGTGTCATATTGAAACTAGAAAAATAGGGAATAGGTATTTAGTATTTAATCCATACCTACACATTTTTAGATGAGAGCAAAGACTCAATATCATCTTACATAACATAAATACAAAAAGTCAGTGTCACGAAGCCTCAACGTGTTATTATAATAACTTAATCAACCTGATACATTTGAAATAGAATAGATAGTACTATATCTTTGCAATACAGTAGGTGGCAGATAACCATCTATTGAGTGTGAACCCAGATACCCAAATACACCCACAGTGTACAATAATAATAGGAGATACTACCCATAAAGCATAGTCATTGCCTGTTTCTCTGTCTGTTTCTTATATTACTTTCCCTAATTTACCTCACTCCATCTCTGCGATTCACGTATAACCGTTACAAAAGAGAACCCTTATAAATATTTTTTTATTGAAGAAAAACCAACAGCTATTAAATTTCACTAAAACAAACAGTCAAGACAAAAGCCAATTACAGATTTATACGTACACTTTTACGTGTGTACAAATATTTGTTTATGTAAGTGACAGTTTATATGAAAGTACTATAACTCTAACATGCATAGGGGGGAATGGGATTGTTAGCAATTGTTTTTGACAGCCCCATTGCTAACAATATGCTCTATTAGGTTGACCTCCACGTGGTTCCCCCTGGAAACCATCGTGAACAATTCTTGTTGAATTCATCACGATGGGCTAACTGACCTACTTCATCCTCACCTATCATCCCTCACTGGTACCCCGCCGATGTATACCGAAAGCGCGGGTGGGGTTACCATTCCATTATCATCCATTAAAAAAAAACTCTAACATGCATAAGGCTTTAGTAAAAAGCAGTTTTGTACTGGATCCTAGAACTTACATTAGTACTGCTGAGGATTCAGGCGTGTAACTGACTTCTGAGTAATATGCAAATTATTCGTTCAACCACAGAATAGTTAACATACGAATACCATCACCTTAATACATTACTAAATAGTCCTCTTAAACTACCTTATTCTTAGAAAACTCTTAACCCTCCATATTTCCTCCATTATGTACTAGTAATAGAAAAAATAACAGAATTATCTGTATGATAAATATCTGTATCTATATTGTACGAGTATGTATGCATCAATGGATATCATATATTTCTTCCGTAATTATTTCAATGTATATATGTAAATCGTTTTTAAAATAGATATATGTAATTATATATTACTTACTTACCTATTAACAACATATAATACATTCTGGTAATATATACATAAACACATCATTAGACCAGTTATGTAATGTAGAAGTTACGTCGCAATTAATCGTGACAAAAACAACAATAATCTGCTCCTCTAGACAAAATAGTAGATACATTTTACATAGAAATACAGAAAAATACTTTAAGGCGACTGCGTAATAAAGTATTAATACACTATTTCAGGTTCATATTTCGTCGTTCGCTCTGCGATCTTAAAATGATTTACAGCCAATAATCTTTTATTAAATGCAAATAATATAATGGTTAGTAGGCTTCACGTGATGTTTTCCAGGGGAACTTAGTGGAGGATAAATTGAAAGGATGGGCCCCATATTGCTAGCATGGGACCACTGAACTCCCAATCAGTTAAACAATCATATCTCCCTTCCAAGGTAAATATGTCAAAAATTAAGATTATGCATACAAAAATAGTGGCTGTATAATATCTTAATTTTAAAATGGCCAACAAGCTGACGGCCACCTGATGGAAAAGTTGTGACCATAACATATAGACATTACTAATAATCAGTATAGATTTAAAAATCTCTCAGTCAGTTAATGGTTCATTAAAGGCTGTTAACGCCAATTACTAATTTCGTTAACAAATAATTAACATTAAGTAATTATTTAATTAACAATTTTAACTATCATTAACTAATATCTTATTAGTGTTTAATTAACTCTGAGTGTGGCAGTAGAGAAGAAAAGTAAATATCAACGATACAAATAATAACAAAGAGCGATTGAAGAAGTAAGCGAAGAAACGGTAAGACGCAGCAGGGGCTTTGTTTTAAGATAAAAACACGTGTTAGCAATTGTTAAAACTGATAAAAACATGCTATTATTCATTGTTGTTTTTCAGCCTTAATGCCGATTAATATACAATGAACTTAATAGTAACTATAATTAAATGGGTAAGTAATGACATACCTACTTAGGTATAGTGAAAAATATAAGCATTCTGTGAGGTTATATTGGTGACATTTGCCACCTTTCATAAGTGGGCCGTCAGCTTATTCACTATTCAAAGTAGCATAAAAAAGATAAATCAACAATCAAATATTAAATATTAAATTGCACACCCTTGAAATAAACTGGACATTGCGGTATAAAACATAACAAATTTTAAATCTTATTTATATAATAAAGTTGCAACTAGACCATGTCTGTCCATGAGAGACAGGACAAATGGGTGAATTTTTAAAAATTTTTGTCTGTCTTTATGTTTGTTGCGCTATCACTCAAATTCAAACTAAATGTGGTTTTCGAAATTGTGTTCCTGAAAGTTTAACTTAAAATCTGTTAGATGTGTTATTTTGATACGCTATCCAGAAGTGTTCAATATTATCATTGGTTTTCCTACTTTTGAAATTCACACGTGTGAAACAGCGTGTAAAAAATTTGTTTACTACAAAAATATATAGTAAATCTTATATCTTTCCTTCTTCAGTTTTAAAATAAACATTTATTAAATTTTAAAATAACTTATCAACGTAAAAACCAAGCCTAGTTTTAACTCAGACTGTCAGAAGATAGTCAACACAAAGTAACAATAGAAGATACCTAAAAACTTTGTCTTTATACAAAATCACACGATATTAACTTATATATTCAGCAATATACTTTTAAGTATACTAAATCTATTATGTATTTAATTACTAATCAAAATGTCAATATAACTCTCTGAACCTTAGGTTTCGCTCCGATATAAGAAATACAATATAACGAGATTAATGTAGATCAATATGTTATGTTATGGTTTGAAAACTAGGTTTAACTACACGATGGGTATCTACAAAATAAAATTACACTATGCATACTCATACCTACAATAAAATGCGACGTTATATTTTTTATAAGCCTGTTCTTTAATAATTTTAAATGTTTGTTTACATACTAGGAATAAAAATATCTATATAATTATGTAAACGGATAAAATTAAACTGTAGTTATACAGGTAGTATAGAAGATATTCACTTGAAACAGATGTCAAAGTTCAGCGTGTTTCTACTAGGCCGATATTAAAAGTCTTAGCCTGGTAGACACTGAGACAGTAAACTATCAAAACTCGGCCATTTTATTTTTGTCATTTATTTATAAGTCTCCGGTATTATGTATTTGACTTCACTATGACATAATATGGTATAAAAGTCTGAGTACTTACTTGACATCCCTTGGCAAAGTTTTGATTATCACATAAATTCCCCTCCGGTAACGGTAGACGCATGGAGCGATCGCGAGAATGGCAAATATCGCCGCTTTAGAGAGCGTGCTCAGCACGGCGGCCATCGCGGCAGCCAGTGCCATAAGAGCAACGAGCGCTGCCAGTATCGCGTCCATGCTGGCGATCAGCCCAGTAGGACGCAACGACTAGCTGTACACCGGTAATAAACAATGTTTCCACTAGTACGTGATCACACTGCACGCACGCACGCGTCCATCGGCACAGAGAACACTTTTATAAATGCGTGAACACGAACGATGGGGTGCGCCGCGCGGACCGCGTCGAGTCAATGGCGGCCGGTGGGGCTCTCCGCGCCAGCTGCACATGCGCCGATAACAGCTGATCCCTCGAAGGATCGCGCCACTCCACACCGATCACCTCATGTATATAAAACTCAATATAAAAACATACAAAATAGAAACGTGGCAATACAACGATGGTGGATTCCTTACGCGGGTGACATTTCACAAATAATTTTGTCGTCGTTCGAAATACAAATTCTTTTTTTTTCTTCTTTCTGGGAAGTTCATTTACAGTAACAAAGACATACTTAGCTGTCCAAGGACAAAGATCATTTCAAGTCTGAGCCCAAATGTTTATGTACCGTAGCTAAATTTTCATTGTTTGTTCTCGATGTTTACAAAAAAAAAGGTGCAGGTAAAAACACAAAATAGTTTTACCTGTGCCTTTTTTTTATATATATGCATAGAAAACAGCACCGGGGCAGCCTCCATTTAGGTAATAGACAGGCAAAAGTTTTTCATCCTTATATTATTAAATATTAGCCACAACCCGATCCTGCGTTATTTAATACAAAAAGTACTGTTGTGTTAATTTAAGATCTAGATATCAAATTCCTTATAATTCTATTTAATCAAACTTCAAACACATTTACATTTATTCAAGACCAAAGAGTTAAGTATATAAGTGTACCAGAGGATTCTCAAATTTATTGATTATTTAAGATTGTGTTCAAAATATTCTACTTCAATTGTGGCAAAACTATTTATTTAAATTTAAAAACTAAACTACTCAATCGATTTTCATAAAATTCTTATGGGGCCAAATTTGTATATTCTTTCAAATAAAAAAAGGGATTTTTCATATCGGTTTATAAGTGACGGAGAATACACATAAAAAAAAAATACAACTGAATTGGGAACCTCTTTCTTTTTGAAGTCGGTTGAAAATAGCCTAACACACACAGCGCCATCTAGTCCAGCTGATAATAGAATGTATAGATAAAACTTAGCACTTTTATCAGTTCTATTACTTAAATAGTAAATGTTATTATCTTCATATTGGTAGAACATATAATAGGAATAGTAACAACAAACAGCGGATGTACCACCATGATAATATTAGGGAAATTAGACCTCGGAATTTGACTCTTGAGCATGTCAATTTAGATAACTTTAGACCAGATATTTATTATTTAGTTTTTTAAAACAGTATCTTAGTTTGAAAACCGGGCAATTGGTGTGATTGCGAAATCCCTTTTTACCGAACCCGAAAAAATACATTTATTTTTGATGAATTGAAACAAACTTTTTATTGGCCATTTTTATTACTCAAGCGGTATACCTACTGACACAATTGTAACTTTATTCTTCTGAAAATCATCCGGATCGCTCCTTTTCTCCCTCCTCTTCTAGAAGGAATTACTACTACAAAAAAATATAGGAAACCCGCATAAACAGCAATCCCAACTGTCCTCTTAGACCAATTGCGAACTGTCGATAGATACGTTATCGTTATTGCAAATATGAGACTCATTCTATCTTTCATACGACGGCAAAAGTGTATCTTTTACTAGATTCGTTTATCACATGTCTAAAGGGTCTACAATGCCACAACGATAACAGTATCACGACATAATATCAGTACATCGCCCTGCCAATGTTAGCTGTTATCTCATATTAGTTTTATATCTATTAGTTCACTAGTTGTAGATATGAACGTGATGATTTTTAGGGTTCCGTACCTCCAAAGGAAAAACGGGACCTTTATAGGATCACTTCATTGTCCATCTGTCTGTCTGTTACGACTTTTTTTCTTAGTAACGCGTGGTGGTATCAAGTTCAAACTAATATCTTATACTCGGGTCTGCAATCTCTTAAAGCAGTAAAAAAAATCAAACTTCTAAATTGACGAAATCAAAAGTTATGGTCGATTATGTTCCATTCATATAGCATATTTTGACATTCGCAAAGGGAATCAAAACCTATAGGGTACTTCCAGTTGATCTAGACTCATGAAACTTGACAAGAAACAATATCATATAGCACAAGTAAAGGAAAAGTCCGGAAACCGTAATTTGTAGATATTTCACAAAAAAAAAATTAATTTGATGATTTTGTACGGAACCCTTGTTGCGCGAGTCCGACTCGCACTTGACCGGCTTTTTTTAGTATTACATATTATACTGTAAAACTCAAGTACAGGAACTATTGTAGAGATACATAGAATAAATTGATTTATAAATTTTATTCATAAAATTAGTACAATTATTCCCAAATTATAACAATTATTATCAAAATATACATACAATTCTTAATAATAACAAAGAAAAAAATAGGAATGCGCACATCGTGTCAAATGTACCCGGGCAGTAATTTGACAGTTTCAGATCCTTAAATCACACTTTTGTCAGATGCTGCAGCGTCGTGTAAAATTACATCAAATATTCTAGACTTTGTCACTATACAAAACCCGCTAAAATTTACCTAGTTAACTTACAATTCGGAGACGAGGACATTTTATACATTATTATTATTATTATTCATATAAAACAGTTTTGCTTAAATTAATAAATAACAATAAAAAATAAACGCACCCATCACCCAGCAAAGAGATTATTATACGTGTACATATGTACGTCAACATAACTTCTAAGTACTATTTTAAATCTAATATTACATTTTAAACATTCTTGAATTCTCAGAATATTTTTTTTAATATAACTGTAAAATTTATGACATAATATAATTTCATTTCGTCAATATATTACACAGAAATACCAAATAAATGGCAAGGTTTTAATGGTTGGTATGAATCCATCCATGCGTCGATTTCAAACAGTCTTTTTCAGATCTATGAGTGAAATGAGATTAAAACTGAAGTAAAACTACAATAAAATAAATACAGCTGGAAAATTGAGGTATGGCAGTGAAACTTATTTGATAATGCTATCACACAGGTCATTGAGCATTACATACAAATATATGGAAGTAAGATATTGGGAATGGAATCACTAATGACAGTTAATCACAACCTGCACCGTTGTTAGTAGCAATATACAATTATAGGTATATAAAATAATACAGCTTACGATGCATAAGTACAAAGTATCAAGAAATAATAAGTAATTGTGGGACAACGAAATTTGATCAACGGTGTAGTATGGTAGACAAATTATTCGAGTATATTAAATTAACTAAAAACTGCTGTGTGTCTTTTAATATAATATATACAAACATGACATTGTATGTGGGCCATGTAGATATGCATTTTGTTATCTATAATTGTAAATTGTTTACAAAATATCTAGTACTTGGAAAAAACTAAGAATATAACTTAAATCTGAAATACTATAAAGTTTCAATAAATATAAGCATGTTATTATTAAATATCCCATTCGTGTTAACTATGCATTTTTACTATCACGTATTTTATTACATAATGTCAATGCAGGCATGCACCTTTAGTCCCTTAATCTAATTTGCCGATTTCAATATTTTTAAAAGTAAACGAGTAACCCATTTTTTTAAACAATATAACGTAACAACATTATAAATAATGAGTATAACGCCACCCGAAATAACAAAATAATTAATCTAATTTAAGATTCAGTTTGATCACAGTCTAATTTTTCCATTATTAATATTCTCGTACTCTTCCAGTCCTAGAGGTAAGTACCTACCGACTTTCGCGTCTAAATAATATAGTTTGTCTTTTTTAGCCTGATTTGGGTCGAATCCCTCTTTTTGTAGATCTACCTTCTTCATTTTAAATGTACCTGAAAGAGATTATTATATGAATCAACTCGGTTTAAATATTTATGATTATAAATCTAATATACATATAAATATTATATGAATCCACTTTTAGATATACAGTTAGCAAATAATCGTAGATAAATTGTATAGTAAAGAATTATATTAGATCCTTAGCATAGTCAATGTACATTATAAATAAAAAAAATGCTAATCCAAAACATAATCCAATTTACCACATTTTTTCTTATCATTTCGCTTTATATTCTAGGAGAAAATAAATTCTAAATTCAAAAATTGCAACACACAGTAAAACAATGTGGGGACATAAGTGCCATGTTAATTAACGTTCATAATCAATAACCACTTATGATTTCTAAAATGTTGTTTTCATTAGGAAATTTAGTCACTCCATAAAAATGATTATTTTTAATTGATAAATTACAAATGTATAAAGTATCATTTGTAATTTATTCATTAATTAAAATAATTAACTAATTATTATACTTTATAATTTCTGTATAGTTTAAGACTTAAATTTTAAGCAATGATTATTCTTTTGTTTTGTAGAAGAAAGACTAAATTACATGGTCTTATAAGAGGAAGATTATATATAAGTACAAAGTCACCGTGTAGCAAGTACCTCTATACCGAATATTAATTTTGCATCCTAGCGGCTATAGGCATATCTGTTTAGTGAAAACTATGTGAGATAGCGATAGAATTACGAATACGAAGGCATAACTTTAGTTCTCAAAAATATCAAAGAGGTACTAAAAACGTCACAGTATTTTTGCTAATTTATATGTTCTCCATGATTACAGCTGATTGTCGCCACTTTCTATTTGCTAACTGATCGGCTTGTTTGCCATTGAAAAATTTTATAAAATAGTATCTTACCTGTCAAATCGACACTGTTCATGACCCTTATGAATATGGGCCTAGCGTAAGCGGGCAGCTCCCGTGATAAATCCTTAGCCAGTTTGTCTAGGTCGAGTGAATTATCCGTGTCCACGATACCACACATGCCAGCGCGTCCTTCCGTATTGGGTACCTGTCGAGCAAATTTTAAGTTAATTCTACTAATATATATTCTAATTTTAGTTATTTTGATTATAAAACCTATCTTTTGACATTTACGTTTGCGCCGTAAAATACTTTAAGTATGCCCAAACACTTCTTAATGAAAGGCAGAATCGTCGAGCAAGTGGCAACTGATCCTTAAACCATTGTGATTTCTTTCTGAAGCCTGTGGTATTTCAAGCTGAACTGTAAATGCACAATGTCAGGTTAATTCCAATTTAACTTCTATATCCACTTCCGTGCCCGTAATGAAGTATTTGTCAAAATGTCAGAAAAATATGCACATATTTTTATATTTATAAAAAGTGTCCAGAAAACAACAATAAACCTGACTGTCCACTGCATATTAGGACGTTATACTGGCTACTTTTCGACTCGAATTTGCATAATAAGTTTTTTTTTTCATTATGTATGTATTAAAAATGTTCATGATACAGGACAACTGACAATTAATTGTTCGTGCAGTGGCTCAACCATTTACTAATTTGATTCGCGAACTGCGTGACTTATAGTCGCTACAAGATATTCTCACTATGGGTTTCAAGAAACTCATAACCAAACAGTTGTTTGTGTTTATCCAGCGTGCCATAGATACGATAGATGAAGTTACCGTTTAGTATCCTGTAAATTTGTAAGTTAAACTTCAAAGAAGAGATTTCCAGTAGCTTTATCAGTTATTTGGGAAGAAGATGTCTAATTCATTAATAAGTTCAATCAGCTCAATCAACAGTATCAAATCAGCCTAAATAAGTAAATCATCAATGATTAAATGGATACAACATATATTACACAACGCAGCGCCATCTAATACCAAACTAAGCAGACCTCATACTATGAGTACTAGACAAATAATAAAAAAACATAAATACTGTGTTGTAAATACATACATATTATACATACTTAACACCTAGACGAATACAAATATTCTCATGAACACAAATGTTTATATTGTGTAGGAATCGATCCCACGACTATTGGAAGGTGAAATGATGTGTTAAACCGCTGTACATATGTAACCCATAAACTTGTATAATTTCAGATATTCGGAAACTTGGAAATAGCCAGAAATCACTTACACATTTTGAACATCTATAGACTCAAAGATATACCATGTTACTAGTAACACTGGCAGGAAAGCTATATTGCTGTGTAGTAACTAGTTATCTTACCAGTACTCCATAAACAACTGCGTCTCTATGGTTAGCCACTCTGGATATGGCAGCTTCCACCTCAGATGTGCTGACATTCTCTCCGCGCCAACGGAAAGTATCACCAGTACGATCCTTGAAGAATAGGTAACCGAACTCATCCGCCAACAGGATGTCACCTATGAGCAATATTTTTTTTTTACAAAATGTTATTAAAACCAATATGTACTATGAAAGTTATATTTATAATCCAAATATATATAACTTTCAGATTTTTATAATATAATGTATAAAAATTTAATTCAATGATCGCCAAAAATATAAATAAAAATCGTTAAAACGATGGATCTTGTGCCTTTTCTTTTGGAGGTTAGGGGTCTGTGAGTCTTAAATTTTAGATAGAAATAGATAAATAAATATATATATACCTATCGTTAATTTAAATACAATAATAGGTGCATTATTGCTTTATGGCAACAGTCGACAACCAGCGGCCTGTGGCCTGTTTTGTAAATAACACAGTCTTTTAAACTTAAATTTTAGATTTATAAGAAAAATTTATTTACAAAACTTTTATTTTATTGATTATATGTTCTTAAACAATAAATATTTTTTTGTTAAATATAGTTGTCTTTTTTTAAGTTCTCGTGCAAGCTTATAATTATTTTTCCTCCTTTTTCAAACAAAATGTTTTCGCATTTTTATTAGCACCGATATATATATCAATTATCAAAATTATAAACAAGTACGGCCTGCCTTTCCTTCTCTTTACCACTAAATGGGTCTTGTCTGCCAAAAGGGCGCTGATCCCTGTTTTATGGCAAAATTCACCCAGCGAGAGATACTAGTGCCCACTATGACTGGGATAAAATTACCATTAAAGTTTGTCTAAATTTTTAGATACACGAACTCGGCGCCGAAATCACGAAATGCTATTATAACTAAGATTTCGTTCCACAAAAAAAGGCCTATGTTCAGCAGTGGACGGTTAACGAATGATATGACGAATACCTGATATAAAAGCGGAGTCGCCCTGTTGGAACACATTTCTGACAACCTTTTTGTCTGAGGCAACCTTGTCCACATATCCGAGGAACTCGCGACTCGGGTTCGTGGTCGAAATCTTGCCAACGAACACGCCCGGCTCATTAGGTTCTGCAAGCTGTAGAATATTTTTTTTATACAATTATGTTATTAAATTTATTATTGGAACGGCAAACAAATTACCGACAATAATTAGCGGCCCCATTTCTTATCATATAGATACTTTGTTAGGTCGACATTCTTGTTAAATTCGACACAATGTGCTAACTAAAATACTTTTATAGTCACTTATCATAATTCGCAGAAAAAAAAAATATAAAAACGTCAATCGTCTCATAAACCCTTTTTAGCCATTGAATGTAGTCTTTTTAGTCAAGTTTTTATCTCTCTGTCTCTAACTATTCAATTTGAAAAAACATTATAAAACAATCAATAGTTAAAATTAAGTCCATAGGTTTAATTTCTATGAAATAAAACAATAACAATTTAAACAAAGATGATAAAATTAATAATTATTCTAAGATGTTCTAGAATCTTTTTAGATATCGTCAAAATAAAATAATTTAAAGAACTATAGTAAATTAATAATACCTCAATACTTCTTCTATTTTGAATAAAGAATGAAGAAGAAAAAAAAAGTATCTTTTAATTACCTGACAAAGACCCCTAGAATCTCTTATTGGTTCGCCGGTCTCTTGGTTCACCTTGATAATGGCGATGGGATATACGCCTGGTATTATGCGGGAAACGAATCCTATCGCTCCTGGTGTACCATCGCTGTTAGCTAAAAAATATATTTGTTAAATTAATTATAAAAAATATTTTTTAGAATTATTATTTATTAGTAACTCTAATCCGTGACCGAGATATGTTTACTCATTGGGATAAAAGGTAGCCTATCCTTCTTAAAAGGTATCCTTCTCCATCCCATATAATACGTGTATACCAAATTTGATAGTAATTGATTAATTTATTAAGGCATTAAGGCGCTATGAATAATATTACAATATGTATGTATCTAAATGTATGTATTTTATTTATTACACATTTATTTATGTAATATATATACTATTATAAGTACTTATGTATGTATATGAGCGTTTTTTTATTATATATACTTTTTGCGCCAAATAACTACGAGTACTATATTATACTTAGGTAGACGAAAAAAGAAAAACACAGTAGCGCAAGAAGTATAACTAATTAACTAATTAAAAAATATGCCAATAATAATTTGAATACCATACATACATTATGTATAAATCGGAAGAGCTTATTTGTTTATTTCAACGCGCTATACTCTGAAATTACCAGTCGGATTTAAAAAATTCTATTTACATTTAATAGCTATTCAAACGACAGTGGCGAAGCCGCGGAATATAGCTAGTATTACATATAACCGTCTGTTTATAACGCTACGGATGTTTCTAAATTATTAACTTTACATTCAAAATATTATATTATTATTGTGATAGCAAAATAAATTACCTATATTAGCATTTCCTTCTGTAGCTCCATAGAATTCAATGACATCCTCGATGTTAAATCGCTGTAGGAAATCTCTCCAGATCTAAAAAAAAATCGTTAATTATAATTGTTTTGTTTAACAAAAACCATTCGTATTCTTTTAAAATAGAATTCTAGTAATAAAATTTGACAGCTATACAAACGGGTCATGTTAGTAGTGGTAGTATCAATTTATCCACAATGGGAAAGGTAAAGGAACTAAACCATACAACCTGATCTTCAGTAAAAAGTTTATATATCCATGTTTTAACAAGGCAATGTTGCCATATCTTTTTCAAGTTTAGGATTTTTTCTTTTTTTTTTCAACTTGTGTTTCATTAGGAAAAAGATTCAATTGTACTGGCAGAACAATCTCTTAAAAATGTGATAAATATTCTATTACACTGTGAGTCTACTTCTATCTTACTAGTCTTCTCTGTTATGGATTATAAAGCTAATAGAAGGGACGTGCTATCAATTTACAAACTCATATTTCATTATAAAAACAGAACAATAACAAATATACAGAACTTCAAAATATATATCACAAAAAGGCAACAGTAAATCTTGAAATAATTTAATTCAAATGTCGGTCCAGACCTTAATGAGAATGCTTTGTCCCTAAATTGTGTAAATCTTTGTAGGTAAGTGTGACAAAATGCATTTTTATAGTACAGAATATAAATGATCCCTTGTAATTACCTAACACAGACAGAAGACATTTCGATAAACCGATCCCTACTGAATTAACAATGAACACGCGTACGCAATAAATTAACATAATAATTACTATTGTTAATGTGACCCAGCAGATTGTTACGAAATTTTAGGTATACATACATTATTTCAAAACATTCTCTATAACATTATGAAAGTAGGTGTGATCAACGATAATTACTGGGAAGAAAGGAATTGTTAGCGATGGAGACTGAGAACTCTATTGATAGCAATATACTCAACCAGGTCGACTTCCTCGCGGTTCTCCCTGAAAGCTATCATGGTTGATTCCTGATGAATTCATCATGATGGGCTAACTGGCCTGTTTTCATTCTCATCTATCACCCTTCACTGGTGCTCAGCGTATACCGTTAGCGCAGGCGGGTTACCATATAATTTTCACCCATCAAAAAAAAAAAAACGATAATTACTTACAAAAAAAATTAAGATAAATAAACAAAAGTTATATTTTTATTTACTTTAATTATGGAAGTAAAATACAATTGTTTATAACGCCATCTAGGTTAAATACCTAATTGTGAATAAATTTTGTGAACTACATCAATAAAAGTTAGGCTAGAAGGTATTGTTAATTTATATCAAAATTAAATGCTAAACTATGGAAATTAAATCTTAAAACTCATAAGTTTTAAAGGGTGAATTGTAAGAGATACAGTTTTTCTTATTAATAATAAATCTATATATACCTGTGGTCGGAGTCCATTCCCATATATGATGCGGACACGATGGGCTGTGTCAGCGGGAGAGCGAGGCGTGGCCAGCACATAGCGACACATCTCGCCGATGTAATGCGCCGCCTATTGGGCAAATAACTATTGTTAAATAACCAAATCTTTTAGGCAACAGCAAATTATGAACGAGCTAATAACCCACCTAATGAAAAGTGATAATTATTGCCCATAGACATGAACAGCACTATGAATATTATTGTATAAACGATAGCGATGCCAATGGACACCACTTATGCGTTGCTATTCGTGACAACTAAGTTATTACGCCACAGTGTGGTCTCAGCACAGAATAGACCGCCCCTTCCTTTCACGTGAGTGTCATAAGATGTGACTAAGGGAATTTAACCCTTCTTTGCATAATGGTGGAAATTTCCATCATAACATTGAATGCTCAAAAATTATATAAAATAACAATTTCACTTTAAGTTGATCGTGTCTGGATACCTTTTTAATGTCCATTGCAAAAAAAAAAAAAAAAAACACATAGCTGTCAAATTTATTTTTTAAACAATTTTTCCTTTAATTTTGAACATGAATTATATCACATTAATTTATTTCACCAATAAAAAAATCATGCAAAGAAAGGTTAATGCTTGCAGGATGGCTAGCAGAGCCCCTTTTAAAATATCATCAGTAACTGCGGTTACCAACCCGCCTACCAAGCGTAGCAACTACTGGCAAAACCTCCAATAGGGAGATGTCTATGTTCAGCAGTGGACAGTTAAAGGCTGATATAATATCATGATAATGAGTTAAATATTTACCGTAGCATTGTATTTAATACAGTCAGGAAAGTATTGCGAGGCGGAGAACTTTTGCTTCAATGCAACCGTACAGCCAGATACGAACGCCTGGCCAACGCTTATCACGCCGCCCGCCGTGTGATATAATGGTAGTGGACAGTAGATTACATCAGAACTGTTCAGACCGAAGTAATGTATCCCCGTCGTCATAAACACGAACCTGGAAACAAGAAAAATGTATATTATTTAAAAGTTTACGATCTATAATTGTTCATATATAATATAATAACCATCCGCTTTGCAGCGGTCTATCAGTGAAAAAGAACTTTTTCAACAGAGACACGAGTCGGAAAGCGACAAAAATGTTGAACATCCCTCTCCCCCCCCCCCCTCATATAAACACGGCGCGTGTCCCGTTATTAACTTAGTGTGTGACGCTCATTTCTATCATATCTTGTAGCATGGGAACATTTTTAATTTATATACGGCTAAGGAAATGAATTTGATAGATAGATAGATAATTTATTTACATTACTTACAGCACACAAATTATAATACAAACATACACATATTACACAGTAAAAGAGATAAAAGAATGAAAATAAAAAAGCATCAAAACAAAAAAAAAAAAAAAAACAGAAAGCAAAATATATAAACCAACAATTTTCTTTCATTCTTTTCCTTTATACGTGCGCCATAGTGACACAAAATGGTCACAACTCAGTTTATTGCTTTGCCCTCAAAAGAGCAAAACACTGATATTCTGTTGTATCGTTAGCCTTATTAAATATAATAAAAAAAGAAATATGAATAAAATGCATTATGTGTGTCCATTACATTCGCCTCCATTTGATATTATTTTCTAAACAATCAAATAACAGATACCATTAGACGAGGGGTAGTTAGAGGTCACTTTCTGTCACATTCAGACAATAAATATTATATTATATTTCATTTTTTGATCAATATTTAACTACGGTGTTGTTAAACAGTCTCAAATTCGATAAAAATGTTATTTTTGATGCGTGTAATTCAGTTTGTATCGTTAGTCAATCAGTTAAATCACACCGATACAAATGTTATACTAGTATGGACTCACAATAGTTTTTATTCGTCATTATATATATATATATATATATATATATATATATATATATATATATATATATGAAACATCTATATATATATATATACGTGTATATATATATATATATATATATATATATATATATATATATATATATATATATATATATAAAAAATTTTTTTTGGTCAAGACTTCATATAATATTTGAATTTCAAATCTTGTGTGTAACATTAAAATAAAACCTGTTTTTTCATAAAGTTTAAATATGTTGACTTTTATTTGTTTTCTCATATTTTTTTATAGTGGTCTCAAACTTTTGGTCGGCAGTGTATATATATACGGTTAAGAAAGAAAAGAAGTACAAATGTCACTCGCTAACAAATGTGGCCCACTCGTGTTTCATGTACACGCAACAGCTATGCTTGCGTAACTAACTCAGTATAAATTATTAGGTTAAAAGGCATATCAGTCTTAAGAAATGTCAACATATGAATGCCACCATAGACGTCTTGTATTCTATGATCTTTATAGGTAATAACAACACCCGTCGCCACTATCGGCATATTTTGTATATACTATTTATCATCACGTGGACCGTTCTTCATTATCAGCTATAATATTTTTTAATATGTTAATAAATAATAAATTAATAAGTTTTTGATATTAATCTATGTATTTGGTCATTACAAATTTACCTTGAATTAGATATAACAGCTGCCTTTGGAAGTCCAGTCGTCCCAGATGTATAAATGTACAGAAGCTTGCCCCCAAATCCGTCCCCGTTAGCCAAAGTCCAAGGAGCGGGTGGAGTGGACTCCAAAAGATAAGTAAGATCGGTAAAACCGTCGTCAGCTGATGCCTTAGGGCTCGACGTGTTGAGTGGACGATGCGTGAATTTAAACAGTTTTAATGACGGGCTCAACTCTTTTGATATATCTTGGATCGCTGAAATTAAAATTAATAAAGAAATTTAATAATCTCTTTGTATACAAAATACCTATTGACATGCAAAAACAAAACTCAAGATGTATGTACAACAGAGACTAAAAATTGAGTGCATTCAATCTAATTGTTACTCATTTCGATCCAACCTATATGGTTTCTTATCAAACGTGTCAAAATATTATTTTTAAAATTAAAATTACATCCATAACGGGAATTTTAAGAACTTATTGTGTTTGTTATTTCGACAATTGTTTCAACTTGATCCAGAAGTCACAACAAATGATACATGAAGACTTGTAATTGATAATAATTGAGATTGGTCTTGTAATCAATGCATGTTTGAAGTTGGACTTACAGAACCAAAACATTTAACATTTGCTGGAAGATAAATCGTCCATAGAACTATGGAGGAAGAGAAGGGAGAACAGAAAACTCGAAATTTTATTGTATGATAGAAATTAAAATGAAAAAATTCGCAGAATCAAATTGATGCTATGAGAGAAGTATAAAAGTATCTTTGACATATTTAACACTAGACAATGTTGATGTTTCGAAACTAACGAGCATGGACCGGGCATACAGCCCGTCTAATGCTAAACAAGGTTACTGTAGCCTATGTACGTTTGTAAATGTACGTCAAGCGCTCATTGCCGACCCTTAAAAAGCCTTAATACGTCCTTAATAAAAAACCTCGTGTTATAGTCACTAGAGAAAACCTCAACAGGAAGATCAAACCACAAACTGAGTGTTAATGGGAGAAAACTCCTTTAGAAGCGGACTGTACATGATCTTTCTATATATTTATATACTCAAGTGTGTACAGTACGAATTGAAAACGATAAAAAAATCTTGAGTCCCCTATACTGACACCACAGCTAACACGATGCGTCAAATTAGTAAAAGTTATCCTGTTACTTTACGAAAAAATATTCAATTTTATTCATAGAACTCTCCCTTAAAATGATGCTATTTAGTTCTATTTCATCATATGCACATTTAGAGAATACTGTAATGTGATTGAAGAAACAGCTTCGTTACACTTTCAGGCCTCAAAAAATTCATTGACCCAATAAATTACATGCTACTATCTTTTACCGCGCCATCGTTCGTGTGACCTGTTGTTTGTTTGTTACGCTATAAAGTAACAAACAAAGTTACTTTCACATTTATATTGATAAGGATAAATATTTTAAATATGAAAGATGACTATGTTATCTTCACGACCATAATCGTACGGGGTAGATATAAAGATGTACTGTCCAATACATTTATTCTATCGTAATACTCTATGAATCGTAACATAATTCATTGTGAAGTTTGTAGTCTATTTGATAGTGTTATCATAAACACCAAATTAAAGATGTGACATGTAGTAAATAAGGTCAATAAAGATAATGAATCTAATATTTGGCAACTTTAGGTATGTAGTCAAGTTACAAGATTATTGTACTTTGTAGTCAAATAATAATAAAGTTAATTTGCGTGCCATTCGGTTCAATGTTAATTTATTTGTGGAAACTTTGTTGACGTGTTTAAAGTCTGCACAGAATAGGAACATATTGCGGGTTTGAAACCATAGATAAAAGTAAAAAAAAAAAAAAGATTTGCAATAAGCCAAATATTTAAAGCAAATTCATACGTAGCAAAACTTTCATTATTATGTTTAATATATATTGTTTGAATATCATTTGAAGACTGCTATCATCATCATCTTATTACCCTTATCCCAATAATTTGGGGTCGGCGTAATATGATTTTGTCCATATTACAAAAAGACTTGGTTTTTAGTTTTACGACCGGCCACCTGCCTGACGTCAACCCTCTTTGGGACTGACTATATAGACTGCTATATGTCTAGTATATAATATGAGCACAGTCAATCTTCCGTTTATTAGAAATGTGAAAGTTTCTAAATGTGTTTGGACTGCCATAATATGTATATTTAATTTAAAATATGGATCTGTTTCATTACGATTCACAATCTAGAAGTTGCTTTCTAAGATTGAGCTCTATTAAACTATAGTGCACCCAAAAACCGGTTTCAACTTATCGTGGCAAGAAAGTCGTTGCATCGGTTGATAAACGGAATTATTTTTTTAAACATAGTGTATATTGTATATTATATATACTTACCAGATTGAAATTCATCCGAAAATATTAAGACATCACATTTGGCGACGTTGATTGAGTGAAGCAATGCGTTTCCTCTTTGATTCGTGTTAATTAATGGCGTAACAGCACCTACGCGAGCATTACCGAGCCACAGCGCCGGCAGTTGAGGACAATTATGCATTAACATGCCCACTATGCTCCCTTTCTTTATGCCCTGTGCCCTCAATACCGCTGTCATGCGTAAACTGAAGTCTTCCACCTTAAAAATAATTGAAAAATTTAAAAATAATATGTACACTCACTCTGTGGTATAATAATACCAAACTACGTTGAGCTTGTATAGTGCTAAACAATTAATAGAACATTTACTAATCTTATAAATATGAAAGTGAGTGTTTGTTACCTCTTGATGCCTGGATTACCTCTTGATAATGGATTAACCAATTACTATAAAATGTGGTATACACATACTATATGAGATGGAGGAGGACATTAGCTACTTTCATCCCGGTCATACAGTGAAAGTGTGGGATAAAATCTTGTACTTAAATCCTTTTTTTGTGATTACATACATAATACGAATAGAAAATGTCCAGACCAGTACAAACAGACATGTTAATGAAAACAAATATTTGTATCGTGTGGACTTTAAACCCGTAACAATCGGAAGGTGAGGTGGTGTGTTAACCACTACACCAACAAGGTAACCACTAATTGTACGTTAATTTCGTGACATTTTCAATACTTCTTTATTTTTATTGCCGGCATGGCCATAGTGTGAAATTAAGATTAAATATCTAAGTAGGTATAAACATAATAATGCTAATGTGATAAATACGCCGTAATAGAAAAATACTTGCCTGTATATCATTATAAAACAGGTTTTATAACGCTAACAACAAACAAGAACATGCAGTGCTGTTCATGTCTATAAGAGATGTTTACAACTTTCCATTAAGTGGGCCTTCAGCTTATATGTTATTATATGTTGTATAAAATAAATGGCCAAAACTTTCTCATGTACTTACACAGTCATAAACGACGGTATCAAAAATATAAAGTATAGAGCAGATTGGATATGACAATGTGAGTATGTGTATCAATTTCATCATAAAAAAAAAATCAGAAAAGAAAGAAATATTTATATTCAACTTAAATTTAAGCATTTTTGAATAGTAATTTTTTCATTATAGGGGGATAAAAAAATCTGCTTTATCACAGAGTACATTTTTCATATGCATAGAATACATGAAATAAATACCTAGTTTATTTAAGTAGAACTTAATAAAATGATAGTCAAGTTTTGTTGAAATTATCACAAAAACTCTGTATTAAATAGTATCAAATTGAAACATTCAATCAATTAATGATTATTTTATATTTATTAATATTGGGCATCAACTGTCTTCTAAAATCGCAATTAAAACAAGGATTTGCACCTTGGACCTAACCATCTACTAGCACAAATACCCTATAATTTCTTTTATCACCCTAAAAATGTCACTTGTTCATATAATACTTCTTATCAGTATTCATAAATAATTTTGCTGGTACAAAAGGTTAATATAAATTATTAATGATATTTCAGTTCATTAACATTTTAATGAACATATACAATATTCAATTCAATATTTAATGCATAGTACAATGTCTATATACTTGCTTATTAAAACTATAAATATATACAGCATTAATTAATATTTACATTTTGCATTTTTTTTTAAGTTCACAGTAATAAAAATCTGGTATCGAGTTCTACTGACCTGTAATTGCTTAAAACTAATATAATACAAAATGTTCATAGTTCATCTTACAATATTTTATGACATGTAATATAGAAGTTATTACAGATACATGTTATATTAATTAAATATTATTTTTTTATTTATATTAACTGAAACTTACAGCTAGAGTACAGCTTATAATTAATTAATTCCTCTACATATTCCTTTATCTCATCTTTGTTATTTACATATTGAAATAAGAAGTATATATAGATACATACCTCTTGAAATGTCCAAACTTCATCTCTAAATAGGAAACATGGTTTATTTGGATGTCTTTGCACAACGTCATGGAATATATCAGGGACAGTCCAATTTCTTCTACTGAACTGCCGTGTCTTCCACAGTATGTTCAGATATGCAAACAGTGCTCTAGAAAAAAAAAAATGCACTTTATATTTGAAACAGGAAACAAACTAGAAGGTCTCCTCTGTAAACAAAATTCTTATGGAAACAATAGATTATATTTACACTTAAACCAACCTTTTTCTCTTTTAAAATATATATATATATATATATATATATATATATATATATATATATATATATATATATATATATATCTTGATGATTTTATTTCATTTACTTCATAGTTATTAAAAGATTAACAAAGTAGTTAAGCCCCATTAACATTAATCAGTTGTATCAATAAAGACATGTATAAATATAGAATCCAGATTCAATTCTCTGTTGATCCAATTTTAGGTTCAATGATTTTCCATATATTTCAAAACTGGATGTCTCAAGCTTAAAACATTTATTCATTATCAAGTTTCTCATAACACACGGTAGGTATCTTAATTGACGTAATTAGTATAATTTACATAAAAACAATTATCTTAATATCATTCCCAATATCAGTGGAAAGAACAAATCGGTTATATGTGTTATTAAGTTTACAATAACTGTTAATAATAAATACCTACCTATGTGTAATGTAGTATTAAATATTTTACAATATACTACAAAATAAATAGTGTCATGAATTTTAACATTAATATATTTAAATATTTATTTATTTTGTATGGAAAGTTTGAACAGCTATGTACTTTGATACCACAAAATGTAATATTGATTAAACAAATTATTTATATTTTAAAATATATAATTATGTTGTATTTATTTATGTTATTTGTTATTAACATATTTGGTACACAACTGTTTTTTTTTTCAAATTATTCACATAAAAATAAGAATAATTATTTGATACATAAACATTTAACACATAAACCATTCCTTTTTAATTTTTCTTTTGTACTGTAATTTTGATAAAAGAAGTGTAGAGTACTAATGTTTAGACACTGTCTACTAAATATACCAAATATAAAAAAGCAGACACTTCAGTTTATATTACTTAATATGGCAAAAATAAATCTACCATAATACAAAATAACACAGAAAAATATTCTTACAATCAATTATTTTATGTTGTATTTTTCGATAAAAACATGATAATTATGATTACTAACAGTAAGCAAAAGTGGAAATATATGATAAAAAGAGACAAGTAACTGTATAATGCAAAATATCTTATAAATAGTAGCAATTTATAGATCACAGTCCTACTTAACCAATGTCTGTGGGGCAATCAGGTAATTGAGAAATTAAGATGATAAACCTAGATCTTGTACCCCATTATTTTACAATTAACCCAGTGGTGGTCATAACAAAAAGGTTGAACTTTAATCATAGATGTTTTTGTACATAATTTCAATACATAATAATTACATTTTCTTTATCGCAAGTTATTCACACAAGTGACATAAATTCATATTCTTCAGAATAGGTCATGAGCGTGAGACTATCACTCGTTTTGTGAGAAGGGTTGTAACTAGAACATGTATGAAAACCCTATCTAAAAGATCCAATATTTTCTATACACTATATTATGAAGTGGTAAATTTTTATTTACTGGCGTAAAATGATAAAACAACATACAAAGAACTCCAATACACATACCTGAGGTCCCTTTTCGATGTCATTGCGGCTATATAACACAATCTTGAATGGAAAACTAAGGCGTATAAAGCTGCGAGAAGTAAAGAAGCAACCACCGTGCACAGCAAACCATGATACAACCAGATTGCAGCACAAACGGCGAAAATAGTTGCGACTGCGAAAAACATTATTACTAATTTGCGCCACGAAAGGCGACTGAAAAACCACCGCCGACCCACAGTGCGGTTTTCCGATTGCGGATTGCCAACTAAAATTTAACTGTATTCCCAGTTCAATCCGAACATTGGTCAGTACGCAGATAGTAACGGTAAATGCAAAAATAACAAAAAACTTGTCCGACTTTTTAAGTACCTACTAAAGTAATCAAGTTCAAACAAACAATTCAACAATATGACTATGACAGTTATGACATAAGCACAGACTAGACCACAGATGATTACGATACTACGATGTAAAAATCGACACTACTCTTATATTGATAATATTGGAAACGTATCTATGCATCAAATACGTAAACAATAAAATATTATCCTGCTGTGCTGTAATTATTGAGAAATTGATGAACATTTGTAAAAAAAATGGACATCTCCCGCTTTATTCAAAGATTGCTAAAAATCAAAGAAATATATAAATCCATACATGAATGTGTTAATTCTATTTACACATTCATGTATGGATTTGAAGAAATCTGATTTATAGAAATAAAAGAAATTTGTTTACGGAATAGACTGAAGACTGTATAGGATCAATTCTTTTATCTATCTGATAATAATTATCGAAATAGACGTAATAAAAATCTATTATGTATACATCCAGCCAAAACCACTTTATTGCAAAAAAGCATTATATGTATGGCCCCAAAAATTTATAATAAAATTCCAGATGTATATAAAAATTTAAACACAAACTTATTCCGGAAAAAACTGAAAATGCTACTGATTGACAAATGTTATTATAATATTGACGAATTTTTAAATGACAACCTTTAATATGTTTCTCTTTCGACATTTGCTAGTGACATTATAATTTCATTTGACTTTTTATTTAGTTTATATCTAATCTTCACAAAATATTAATATGTTTTGTAAGGCATGGATAGATAGAAAGCATAGATTTACTTTGTAAGGCACTTGAAATTGCCACTGTCCTTGAAATAATATTTTGCACACTAATGTTAGCAAAACATGTTAGAACTATACAAATCCTACAATGAACAACAAGTATGTCTTTGCACTTACTATGTACACATGTTTGCAAATAAATTTATCTTTATCTTTATCTTTGCTTTCCCTAGTGACGAATAAACAGAACCAAAACAATGGACATTCATCGTTGTATAGATAAGTATACTATACAACTATACAAAATATCAATATCAATGGATGTAATAAAAAGTATATCTATTTTATGGAGTCAAATATTCTAATTAATATAATTATTTACATAGCATTTATACAAATTATTTTTGTTCAAAGTAACGCGGACAGTAAAATGAGCATGACAGCTATGTTCTACACAGGTTGACGTTGACATATCGCTGATGTTACGATAAATGTAATGTCAAATACATACATAATTATGTATGTATATGTATTTGTATACCTGCCTAAGGGAGAAGGGGAGGGGGAAAAGGGATTGTTAGTAATAGGGATCCTGCAGTTGTTTGAAGAAAATAAATAACAACTAACTTGATTATATTATTGATTCACATATAATGAGAGAATGACAGCAGAAATGAATGTGAGAAGTAAACGTCGCTGTCATATCTGTACGTCCAGTGCGAAAGATAGAAAGAGGTGAAATATCTATGTACAATTAAATTAACCTACTTGATGGAAAAGAAAGTAATGATGTTGACAAGTGGCTATGAGATGAATATTTACAATATCTATTTACAGACGCCACAATCTGACAACCCTATTGTTAATAAAATACCTCATCACTTCATCTCGTCGACCTCTACGCGGATCCCGCTGGAAACTATCTTGATTAATACGTTATGAATTAGTCATTATGAACCAACTGACCTGTTTTATCCTCATCCCTCACTGGTGTCCCAATAGCGTACACCGATAGTACAGACAGGGTTATCATTCCATTATCACCAATTAAAAAAAAGGGAGAGAAAGGGTATGTTAATAATGGAGATCTAACAGCTCCATTGCTAGCAATATATCATTTCAGGTAGACCTCCACGTGGTTCGCTTTAGAAACTATATGTTGTTGACGTACTGACAGTCACAAATTGTACATACGTCTAAAAAATAACTCGTGGGAAAGAATTAATCATAATCAATATATATCACATGTTATTACTAAGACTTTGAATAGAAAAAAGGTGTGCAATTTGTGTCATCAGCAACACTTTCTTTGTTGATTTCTTGTAGAATTCGTTACGATGGATTAACTGACCTATTTTCACCCTCATCTATCACGTCACTGGTGCCCCCGCTGCCAGCGTATACAGATATCGCGGGGTTACCGTTCCATAACGTTAAACAACTATATACCTACATTTTTTATGTGAATATTGAATGGTAACCCCGCCTGTTCTATCGATATATTTACGCTAGCAGCGAGTAAAATTGTACTATTACTGTCTTTAATCAATAACTTAATCTATAAGATACTAATCGTAAAATCACAGGTAAAATTAACACTCTACCAATGCAATTGAATATATAATTAAATCGATGATGATTATGTGAATTAAAAAATTAAAAAAGAATATTAAGTTTTTCAATTCTAATGCTAAATTAATACGTGAACGCATCATATTAGTATCTATTATATTTTTTGTCATTTGTCATTTTTCTTCTTTTGGTAAAAATATTTAGTTTCATTGATAAAATACTCCCTTAAAAGGAAATTAATGATTTCTATTTCCATCAACCTGTGTATAGACTGGAAAGAAGCATGGGCGATATACGCCACCGGTTAGAGCTTTGCAGTATAAGGAGCCGCGAGTCCCACAAATTTTTGCTCTTGTTTTAGAATTGTACACTTCCGTTTTTTTAATTCTGTTTTCTGAATCACCAACGGACTCATGCGATATATATTTTACCCACAACCAACTTAAGTCTTTCCCCGCTACTAAGTATGGGATTCTTTAAGAAGGGCATACGGGCTGATTGCTTATCACCTTGGTGGTAATAAAAAAATCCAATTATTACAAAAAATATATTTTAATAAATACCTAAGCCCATTTTTACAAAACTGTCAACATCTAAATGCATTTACAATAGATAATAACTATTTTATTGTCAATTATACTTAAATACAATCCTAAAGGAACCACGTTCTTCACATTATCAAAAGTCCCATCACAGTATTCTCTAGGTACAAAATTTTACACAGGTACTTAAATTAAAATCACAGTCTGATCTGTCCCGATATAATTTTGTCATACTCTTCTGGTCCCAGGGGTAGGTATTTATTTGTTGCCGGATCTAGGTAGTATAACTTATCTTTAACAACTGTTGGATTGTAACCTTCTTTCAGGAGGTCTACTTTCCTTAATTTGAACGTTCCTGAAAATATTAAAGAGTAGTTAATAGTTACAGTAATTGAGGAAATTTCTTGTCTTGAAATTAGAAATCGTAAATAGATAAATTGTCTTATGAATATTATTTTATAGAATTGAACTATCAGTATTATATTTCACTTCACTATCACGCTTCTCCATTTTATTTTAAGTTGGCATAATAAATGAAATCTAATTCTAGCTAATAATAATCGACGCTAACTTCACTATTGTGTAAAACTTCAACAGTATACTAAACAGTATGTTTTTTATATATCTATACTCTCGTTGACAATTTAGAAACTTACTCATATGAATCCCAATAATATTATAAATGCGAAAGTTTGTAAAAATGGGTGGATAATATTTTTAATCTTTTACGCAAAAACTACTGATTTGAATGAAATATGGTACACGAATAGATTATATTCTAACTTAGAACATAGGATATTTTATATACTGATTGACACGGTCGAAGCCGCGATATGCAACTAGTGCTTTCCATAAATTCGTTTCGGTGCTTTCTTTCGGGTCTTAATTCTGATCAAGACATGCAAATTATTACGTATATCTACATTATTAACACAAGTAAGTTTTATGGATAAAGATCTAACATTTGGCCTTCAAAAATTTAATTTTTTTTTTACTGGGTCTCACAAATAATGTACATCTCAATAAAATGTGTCTCCTGCCAGTAACAAATAACAGGTTATGGAAGCATAGTGACGGTATTTTTATTTTTCTACTTTAATAGCAGTAGATGATCTATGAATGTTAAATCTTTCGCCTTTTTTTACGTTACTAAACATATTACAAATAAATGATTTCTGTAGAATGTTTAACTAATAAACTAACCAGTCATGTCAGCACTAGTCATTATCCTGATGAAAACAGGCCTGGCATACTTCGGTAAATCTTTGGCCATATCTTTGGCTAGTTTATCTAGATCCAGCTCGCCACTTGGTTCCACTATTCCGCACATACCCGCGCGACCTTCCGTGTTAGGGATCTGAAATCATATCATACACATATTACAGTATACCGAACTGAAGACATATAAAATACTCTCCACATAGATAAGGAAAGATAAAGTGAGAAATAATTTTAGTAAGTCTAAAAGTACCGTCCGTGGCTGCTTTAGAAATAAAATATTAAATATAGTTTTGACAGGCTTCTCAGAGAAAGAAAAAACGGACGCAATGTGTGAAAAGACAGAGAACATAGAAAAGAAGACTAAATAAACGAACTTAAGATAGGAAAGGAAAAAGTGTGTTGACCCCAAATAGTAGAATAAGGGCCAAATTAAACCAAATAAAGGAAACACTGCATTTACTCATGTGACCTTCAATATCAGGTTTATTTATTTTATTTATTTATTCATTAGAATATATATGTGTACATGACAGACTTAATGCTAAAAGCATTCTCTCCTCGTCAACCATAGGAAAGTATTATACTAGAATACAGTTTTCTGGGCCAACTTCGTTATAGACGAAGGCCTTTAGTGGAATTTACAGATGATGACTTTAAGTGTTCTCCAGAGCACGAAGCATTTTAAGCATTCAAATATAAATATAAATTCAGCAGTTAAGTTTGCAAGTTCGATATTGAAATTTACACCGAAGTCAAACGTCAAACACTAATTACATAGCTTTATATTATTTTAGTCAGAAAATTGTTAAATCCCAGAAGACAAGAAGAGATTCGCATTCTTAATGATACACGTGTCCACAAAAATCTACGTATCCATGTGCTCTGATAGTAAACGAGTACAATATGTTAAAAAATGAGGATACAATAATACTAATAGGTATTTATTTATCTGTGCTATTTTTGTGGCAAATGAAGCACCCCAACGTCAGACTTTCCTTCATTCAAAACTATATTCTATTACACTAATTAAATCAATAATTTCTTATTTTTTACATTGGACTTCCGACATGTGCGAGCTGTCACAGATGATCGTGTACGACAGTGTTTCCAGACATTACTTCCTAAATACCACATTGTCTGTAGCATATACGAAAGTATTCGTTAAAATTTTTACTGTGCTTTTATTCTTATTCCAACTTTGATTGGTTTATGGAAGTAAATAAGTAACATATTACTTACCTCTACTCCGTAAACGACAGCATCTCGTTGTCCGGCAATCTTGGATATGGTGGCTTCAACTTCTGTGGTACTAACATTCTCTCCGCGCCATCGGAACGTGTCTCCCGTACGGTCCTTGAAGAACAGGTAACCAAAATCATCTGCTACCAAGATGTCACCTGTGGGCAATCATTAATTAAAATAATTGGATATTATTCAAGTCGACATTATCTGTATGGAACGATTTCGAAAAAACCTTCATCTTCACGTGCAAATACAAATGAAAGGAAATATAAAAATACGACGAAAAAAGAATGTTTCACAATTTGTCTCATGAACACTGTTAGAGAGATGAATTATAAAAGTAGCCGAGAAGTAGTTTCAATGCAAAAGACTGCAGAATATAGAGTTGCCACGTATAACATGCCAGGGTTGAGGATATATGAAAATAATATCACATGAAAAGGTAATAGGTACATCGCGGAAGTGAAATGATGCTTTAAGTGAAAGAAGTGTCAAATGAGGATTAAAATAACTTTAAGCGGAGAAACAAAAAACAGTATGTCAAGTATACTGTATATATTTCAACTAACAGAGGTATCAAAACATATATTGAAAATATATATAAAAAAAGAATTATGTAATAATAGAGATTTGTATATTAAAAAGGACGGCTAGGCAAGTTGCCAGCAACAGTAACCTTGATGTAAAACTTTTATCCCTCAATTAGACTGTGTGTTATCTGAGGAATGACTCAAGTCTTCGTAACCGGCGGGTATGTATGAGACAAATTATAAAAGCGAATGAAGCAAAATTGTATGTGAGGAAAATTGTTTGGCACTCGGTTCTCCTTAGGTGAATTTTAGTGTGAAGATAGGTAGTATAAAATTTACTCAGTGTTCAAAATGCCAAACTTTCACCACTTACCAGATATAAAGGCGCAGTCGCCGTGTGTGAACACATCCCTAACCACCTTCTTGTCGGATTCTTCTTTGTTTACATATCCAAGGTAAGCTCTTGACGGTAAATTAGGATTGATTTTGCCAATAAACGCTCCTGGTTCGTTAGGTTTAACAAGCTGAAATTGAAAAATATTTTGGTCACGTTAAACCATAAATAATCAGAAGCTTTGGGGCCGATTCTGAGTCCTTAGTTAAATTAAACTTATCTCTTAACCTAGTATTTTAATTTGATAATTTTACGAAATTACTTGTTTTACGGACCATCATAAACAAAAACACATAATTAAACGATGTTGTGTTAAATGGTTAATTCATAACAATCTTAACTTTGATTTCGCTTTAATATCAAATTGAAATTTTAACTTCTCAGAATCGACTTCGTTATCAAATTAGTCGACTCTTACGAATGTGGTAAGGTAAATCTCGGTTACCGATCGATTGAACCTACTTCAAGATAAACTTTTTTATTCTTATGGTAGAGTAAAACATAAAATACCAAATGCTTGAATTAAAAAAAAAGTCGAAACCTCTTTCGCTTCATATACTTACATTATTAATATTATTATTCAAACTCGCTAGGTGTTATTTTATACCTTAATCTAATACATTTTTCTTCGTCAATAATTACTACGTAAATTTTATTTAGAATATTATTATATTTGTTATAGGTATACAAAAACTCAAAAAGGTTAATCATGCACCAATAGATATAAGTTAATACAATGATAACACAGTATTACATACCCATCTATTAAGTATGTTCTTTGATGTTGACATAATTACAAGTTATCGTAGAATGTAATACTTCTCTATCAATTATCTTCCACGTGACTTAATTAGTTGATAACGTCTTATTAATAGATATACATAATGTTATTTCATAGCAATTGAAGATTACACAACCAAAATACGTAAGTGAAAGTATAGAGACTGAGGTATCTTTAAGTACGTAGGTACACTCGTGTTTCAAAAAACTGTGCAAGTCACGCGCAGTCGAAACCGTAAGATAAATAATCTTACATCATACATTAAGTTCAATAGTATTATAAAACTCGCTCTTTCATGTGGATTTACTCGCTTGGATTACGTATAAATTAAAATGTTTAATGAGAGACTCTGTGTATTCATTTACGATATACTTCATCTTTGTACCAAGATTACGTAAATTAAGGATGATGTTACTAATTTTATAAACATGAAAGTTTGAAAAGATATTTATATGTTTGTTACTAAACTACGTATTCGCGTACAGTATATATTTATATACTCTATATGATATGTATTAGTATGATTAATAACAGTATGTCCATAACACAGTAGGTAATTTTTCTACGTAATTCACAGTCAAGTCACAATAGGTAATTCAATACCAGTATCCCGCGGCTCCACCCGCGTTGTATACTAATTCATAAAGTATCTTAAGTGCTAAGTTACTATATAACCTATCCATGTTTGAAATTTGAATTTAATATATTAAGTAGTTTAGGCGTGAAAGAGTAACAAATATCCTATCTATATACTCATCCATCTCTATAAACTCTCGCATTTATTATATTAATAAGATATCCTTTGATTTCACTCTGGTAATAAAGATAAGTATTTATCTTTATTTTATTTTGAATAAATTAATAAATATTAATTAAAATTGTAAATATTGATTACCTGGCACAACCCCTTCTTGTTTCTGATGGGTTCACCCGTGTCTTGGTCGACTTTGATGATAGCGATAGGATAAATGGAAGGAATTATTCTAGACACGAATCCAATAGCACCAGGTGTGTTGTCAATGTTTACTGAAAAATAAATTATTTATTTATTATGCGCTGTCTTTATTTTTGTATTATAAGTATTTAGCTAGTATGCATGTAAATATTATTATTATATAAATGAAAAAAATATGCTCATAACTTTATAGTTATATTTAATTGTTAACTGACTCGTTAGTTATTATTAATTCAAATCACCTTTATTCAGATAGACTTGTTTACAAGCACTTTTTAATCGTAATTTTTTTTATATCTACTGCAGGGTTCGGAAAGTCGTTATCTGTTGAGAAGAGCGCGCAAAAAACTCAACAGTTACTCTTTTAAATTTCTGTTAACATTATGTATATTTATTTAAATGTCCCTACTACATCTAAAATTACATGGTTGCTAAAAGCTCATACATGATCAACTAAGACCATGCACTTTTTTCATTCAAGTAATCGTTTAGTGTGTAATAGACTTTGTTCAATAAGTGTTTTTAAATAACAGTTTTAAACTTATTAAAAGGTAAATCAAAAATATCATTCGGTATCTTATTATAACATTTAATGCCCGTTCCCATAAATGATACTTCAGAACAGCAACTTTATATTTGTATCTAGTGTTAAGATTATTATAAACTAACATTATCTCACGGGACAGTCAAAGGCATTTGGGTAATAACGTAACGGCGCGGCGTGACCAAATTTCGACAAATACGTGCATTACACTCTATGCGTTGGGAGACTATTTATAATTTGTTGTTAGTGTTGTTATTTAAAAAAATTGTAGAAGTTTAAATTGTTATATGATACTAATAGATAAGTATTGTTGTATATGTATGTATAATAAATAGTAAAATGACTACATTAAAAAAAGTACTTAAGAAATTCTTCTGAAACTATCTATTGTCTGTATATCAAATCCGTGTTTCTATCTTTATTATGTCGATTTATTATTATATGTGATTACTTATACTACTTATAATACTTATAGTACGCAGCATTACTATGCTGCGTACTATAAGTAATCACATTGATTCTTACTACTGTAAGAATAAATAATATTAGTATAGCGGTATATGTAAGTATGTATTTTATTATCATCATCGTATCAGCCATTATCTGTCCACTGCTGAACATAGGCCACCCCCACAGACTGCCAAAAGAAACAGTTCCAAGCCAGCTGCATCCACTGACTACCTGCAATGCAATTTGAGGTCGTCGCTCCATGTAATGGGGGTCGTCCTACTCGTACACTGTTTTTGCCCTTACTGCCCGTGTTTGCCACGTCGATTGCTTGGGTACCTCTGTCCCATTCGTATTTCAACCGTAAAGCATAGCATTGTGTTTGCATGGCTGTGTTTCAGTTTGAAGTGTGGGATACGGCGTAAATTTACTGGGTACGGAGGAATAACACCAATGAGTCCTCAGGAATGGTAACGCATGGGGGGTATCATGGGTGAAACAGTATACTCTGTTATGTACATGGAATTGCTCATGTCTATAGGCGACGGTTACCACTTTCCATCAGGTGGACCGTCAGCTTGTTTGCCATTCTAAGTTGTATAAAAAAAACCTGCATCCATTGACTACCTGCAATGCAATTTGAGGTCATCGCTCCATGTGATAGAGGTCGTCTTACTCGTACACTATCTTTGCCCGTACGTGTTTGCCACTCAAAAATCATTTATCAGTTCTTTGGGCTATGTGACCAACTCATTGCATTGCCTACGTTGGTCTTCTGTGGCTATCCTCATTTCGGATTTTATCACGCAAAGAAACTCCAAGTATAGCCATCTCCATAGCTCACTGAGTAACTTGAAGCTTTTGCATACGGACAATCGTATAAGTATGTGTATTTATTTACAATTATTAAAATATTTTAAACTTACTAATATTAGCGTTGCCTTCAGTTGCCCCGTAGAATTCAGATACTCGCTTTATATTAAACCTCTTCACGAATTCTCCCCAAATCTGTAAATAAAGGTTATTTTTATAATACCTAGCTACAAAATGATAAAGAGACTAGAAAAGAAAAAAAAAACAAAAATATTAACACCAATAAATAATAGATTATATTATCTCTGGTAATAGATACTAGTAAATAGGTACCTAGTCGCTGTACATATATTTATAGAAAAAAACAGTAGTGGCTCAAGCAAGTATTGATAATTTTAAGTTAAATACTGAGATTACAGATAATATAGTTTTTTATAATAAGATAATATAGTGTTATGAATAACCGGGCAAGGTACAGTTAGAGGTACAACTCAGAACATCTAAGGCACAAATGAAGTATATTTTAATAAAAAAAACTTACAGCAGGCCTCATTCCGTTTCCGAAGACAATGCGAACTTTGTGTTGTGTATCTGTGGGTGCCGGACGGGTCGCAAGGATATACCGACACATCTCGCCGATGTAGTGAGCTACCTGTAAAATGCAACGCAATAATATTATTAACTATCTTTATACCAAATCACTTACAGCGTAGGCAAATTATGTTAGTAGAATATCATAAACCATATAGAATTCGGACACATTATTCATTCACATGTGTTTTAAATAGCTGCAATCACTTTATTAATTTCAAAATTGGCACAACAACAAACATTACAGATAAATAAATAAAACTGATGTCAACCTGGTAATATAATAAACCTACTTGAGAAAATATATCTAGTAAATATTTGGATATATAGGTATATTATACATAACTTTAGAGTTATTATTTGGAAAGATTTACAAATTTGAAAATATAATGAGCAGAATGTAACATTTTTTAAAGATATTTTTCTGCTGATCATCTTCCATCAGTTTTCTTTATACATATTAAAATATTGTCGTAATATAACTTGAAACAAAATATTTGTATTAATCACTCGCTTTTTACCCGCTACTTTGTACACATGAATTTCTGAAGTAAGAAAACTAATAACATACACGACTTTTGGACGGCGTATAAAGATAAAATACCAGTTTTAAGTTAGACTGTCAGGAATACAACTATGAAAACCGCATTCAATTTGATGCTATAGTTTTTACGGAACAAACATACAGGCAGAAAGACAAAATTTTAAAAATTATCGATTTAGCATCTATCGGTACTATTAAGACACTTCAAATTATTTTTCTTAAATATCTCCCGTGTACACCACCGTGTAGTTACATTTTTACTATATTACTAAAATAAGATTGTCTTTGAACACTAACCGTTGCATTAAATTTGATGCAATCAGGGAAGTATGACGAAGCTGAGAATTTGGTCCTCATTGCGACAGTGCAACCGAAGATGAACGCCTGACCGACAGAAACACAGCCACCCGCCGAATGGTACAGTGGCATAGGACAATATATCACATCTGAATTCTTCAGTCCTCCCAGATAATGGTTACCCGTAGACATAAATACCATCCTGAAATACATTAATTTCAGTTAAAAATGAAGAGTAGAATATTGGTAATAGAATAAATAGCGTTATGAGAAGCTTCCAGTATTTGCAGCATTTAGGTAAATGGCTAAGTGTTGTGTTTTCAACGGCATTTAAGTCAAAAGGCTCAGTTCCCTATACACTCCGTCATTGCCACAGTTATTCTAACATTACTGTGTGTCGTAACGAGAGTTGGGTTAGTTAAAATGTGGATAAGTAGAATAATTATGATCATAATAAGAGAATTGCGTCGATTTTGTAAAATATCACATTTACAGCAGCTCACATGCAAAAACGAATTGATTTAAAAGAACTAATGGTAGAAAAAAACATGCTAAAGGTAACATGCTCGGACCAAGGGGTCAGAGAATACGAAAATAATGTCAGATAAAAAGTTGATGTACCAAACATACTATGCCAAAATACAAGCATAATCTAATTTATAGGTAATGATCAGTTATACCATGTTCTATCTGAGATTTATGTAAAGTACTCGCTTCTCTCTGTCTGCCCCCCAAGGGACTTGGTATGCAGTTGTAATGACAGTTTCACACCATTTTTATTGTCATTAATGAAGTATAGGGCCATGATCGTAACTTTCATGACTCGACGATAAAGTGCTTGATGGTGCAATAGTTGTTAAGACGATAGACGTTTTTACACTGCTGCCCAAAACGTTTACATCATCTCAAATAATACTGAATGTATTTTTTTTTAAATTGCTTTTAGTTTCATAAGGTAGTTTTTTTGTTTTAATTTACGGAACAATCAATATGGTTGTTCTATATATTAATTTGGTATTTGTTTAGTTATACCTATAGATATTCAAACTTTTCGTCTATTATTATGTCTTAAGATTGCTTTCGTTGACTATGAGATATTACTCTAATATTTACATATTTTAGGATTTTATTCTGCAAGGATAACTTTGTTTTGATAACTGCAACAGTAACTGTGGTCATTATCAAAATTAACATGAAATTCTCTCAAGAATAAATATTTTCGATTACAAGAAGATATTTATCTTTACTATCATATCAGCCATTACATATCCACTGCTGAACATATGTCTTCTCCAAAGATTGCCATAAAGAGAAGATTTTACATTACAAAAATACCTTACAATAAATCTGTATGATTGTTTACTGTGAAGCCTCCCTGCGTATATATACATACTACTACATTTTAATAGACAATGTGAATTTATGCCAGGATGGTAACCGAGGGGAATAGTCCCGCACTGCACTGTAGTCGACAAGTGACAAATTATGGTTAATAAGCATTATATAGTGACTGCTAGTACAACGGAATAATTTAACTATTGCCACCACGTGATTTTCTAAAATAAATAGCACTAACACGAGAGTAAAAAATTACTTAATTAACCAATTCCGAAAGGAATTTATCAAATTTGGTTCACAATCTGAGAGAGACTTTTACAAAATTGCGTTTAATTGGATATCTCCCAATTCGTCTTTCTATCGTGAAGAATACCAAATTCGGACATTACCAGTATTATCTATTTCGTCACTTTTTCTTATCTGACATTCTTTTCAGGTGTCCAAATTAAACATTGCTTTCATCGTGATTTTGTTATATAATATTATATTATTATTTTATTTCAAACGAATTAGCTCCCACTATATTCAGCTAGACATAATAAAGGCTATTCGAAACTTGCATACATAAGACGAATTGTGAAAGTAGGTAAAACCAGAGAAATATCTAAATGTAGAAGCTTATGTAAGGAATTTGAAGGATTATATTTGCCATCTTATGCTAATCATATTATAATTAATTTCATATGCTTAAAAATTATAGGTATTAAATGTTTTTATTAATTTTATGTTCACCAGCACCTACCACAGATTATATATAGGTGCATACGTTAACGGCCGCGTTATTTGAAATGAATATTTTTATAAATCGAGCGGATTAAAATAAGCAATGTCAAATTTTCTACTTATAGCTAAAACAAAAACATTTTATTCACAAATATTTTTAAAAGAATGTTGTATATTGCAAAGTACCTTGAAGAAGATATAACTGCAGCCTTTGGTAGTCCTGTGGTTCCTGATGTATAAATGTACAAAAGTTTTCCGTTGAAGCCGTCACCTTCCGATCTGAACCATTGGGCAGGCGGTGTGCTCTCCAACAAAGACGTTAAATCAATTGGAGACTCTACCACTTTCACGGCATAATTCGAAGTATTTAACTCGCGCCGTGTATATTTGTACAGTTTTATTGACGGATCCAGGTCATTCTTTATTTCTTCAATAGCTGAAATAGAAAAATTAGTCAAGTATGAGAATAAGTAGCGCCTCGTAAAATCCGTACTTTGCAAAATAAAATAAAAAAATGCCCTTAAAAATACTGACAAAAGCTTGCGTTACAATTTTCGTAATAGATGATTATGGAATGTTAACCCCGTCTGCGCTATTGGTATAGACTGGCGGGGCCTAGTGAGGGACGATAGGTAAGAATGAATTAGGTCAGTTGGCCCATCGTGACGAATTCTATATTAAGTTATTCACGATGGTTTCCAGGGCGAACCGCATGGAAATCGACCTGATAGAGTATATATGGAGTTATATAGACATATAAAGTTGCCTCTCTCGTTTCCTTTATTTTATTGATCTACATACAAAACCCCAAAAGTTAATAATGTCCTTTTCCTGTTCCTCGATTGCATCTAAGTATGCAAGTATGTAAGTGCTATTAAATAAACCTTTATTTTAAAAATAAATATATGTTAGGTACTATCGTTTGTTGGTCGCTGTATTATATAGTAGATAAATTTCTAGTCCCATTTTTATTTTTTTGAAGCCTGCGATTGTGGTAAATAGTGACATATACTACTTGTAAGGTCTATCTATTTAAAAACTAAATTACTGAACCAATTTTGATAAAATTTCTAATGGACCAATCTGAAATTATGAGTATATCCTTTCAGAATAAAAAATAGTTTTCTAAATCGGTTTATCAATGACGGAGTTATGAAGTGGCAAACATGATAAAATGTTGGCGGTACATACCTACCTTTAATATATTGATTATCAGAAGGATGTTTGGCAGGGAACCAGTTTGCTATTGTAACACTTATAAGTGTGACAACATTATCATATCAATTAATCAACCAATTAGCAAACAAGTAAATTGGGTATTTTAGTTGGTTGCCCAATATATTTGTTTGCTTGTTCATTATAAGTGTTAGAAAAAAATTACACAATACATGTCATCTGTGACAATATTTAAAACCCTTGACCAATAGCACAAATAATGACTGTTTGTTTGCTGTAGTGATGGAGTGTGATTTGATCAACTGTTTACTAACAATATAGGTATAGATATTTTGTATGTTGTAGCGTGGTTTAAGGGACAAGTCACTGAAATAAATTTTCGTCCCATTGCTAGTTACGTATCCTGTCAGATCGACACAGGAGGACCACGTATAGGTGAACCTCCTTAGAACACTACATTGAAAATTTTTACCTACTGATAGCTACATGAGCAGAATGCATTTTACCTATACACCTATATACAGAAGAAAAACCTACTATCATAAGTGAAAGTGACTGAATATGCCTTAGCATATTTTAAACGTCATGACTAGATATTATCTTATATGTATTTTTGATAGTGTAATAAGAGTTCTAAGAATACTAACCACTCTCAAATTCAGAGCCATAAATAATTGCGTTGCACTTAGCAATATTGAAGGAATGCAGCAGCGTATTGCCAGTTTGATTAGTGTTAATAAGGGGCGTGATAGCTCCGAGACGGCCAATTCCAAGCCAAGTGGCAGGCAGCTCCGGGCAGTTGTTCATCATTAGGGCCACGACATCTCCCTTCTTGATACCCTGGTTTTTGAGTACTGCACTCACTCGGAGACTGAATTGTTCCACCTATAATAGGAAATAAAACAATTTATTCTAAGAACCAATATTCAATAACCGAAACCTCAGTTGCATTTTTCTATTTTTTGCTCACGTGCGTATTTGTTACGTACTATAATACTCGTATTACGAATAAAAAACAATAGTTAATAATCTGTACAGAAACCATAATTATCTTGTATTTAGAATTGTTAGTAATGACATAAATCTTTAGGTATAAACGGACTTTGTCACATCGTCTCCATGTATTATAATGTTAATTATTTCCACGAATAATAAAGATACTGTGTAACTTAATAGATACCCATAAAATACAACTTGAGAAACTTAATTAAGAAGGAATATAATGTCTTCTCTATTATTATTTCTTTACAAAGAAACTTTACAAACATACATATTGTACGTTAAAGATATTGTACCATTAGAGAGTCCTATTAAAATTACAACATTATTATGACAGAAAACAGTATTAATAGTGTCAATGAAAAACATATACATAGGTCATGAGCTCATTAAGCAAATGTTTTAAAGAATTATTAAAAATTCATAATTATACAAAAAAGGTCAATTGACCACGCCGCCAACAACAACAGGCAAAAGTTACCAAAATTAACTTCGTTGACGTAATTATGTTAATCAATTAATTTTATGACCCAAACTGCCGAAAAAGGAAATGAAGTTTTCTGGGTGTAACTACTCAAGTCCACTCATAGAATGTTTTCACACGTAATAATGGTAGCGGAATTAAGTAAAATAATTATAATCAACTAGTAAAATAAATACCTTTTGGAAGGACCACGTTTCATTTTCAAATAAGAAACATGCTTTGTTAGGATGTTTTTTCACCAAGTCATGAACGATATCTGGCATCCCCTTATTTTGTCTTTCTAATCTTTTAGTTAACAGCAACAATCTTACGTAATAATACAGTGCCCTGAAAATAATTTAATACAGCAAATTAATATCTTTGTGGTTTGTATATTAAATTTATAAAATTTCGTAAAACGATACCAATAGACAAACAAAATATTAATGAATTAAATATATATATTATTAAAAATAAATATATTATTAAAATTAACTTAAAATATTATTTTCAACCAACTATAAAAAGAAAGAGGTTCTTAGTTCGGTTATATATTTTTTTATGTTTGTTACCTCATAACTCCGTCAATTGTACATCGATTTCGAAAATTCTGTTTTAAATCTAAAAGAATATATTTTCAAATTGGTCCCATAGAAATTTTATCACAATCTGTTCAGTAGTTTAGTTTTTAAATTATTTAATACGATTTTTAAATTATTTAAGTTGTATCACGTACAATGAAACAAAATTATCTTTGATAAGTAGGTAAATCGAAAACAGAATTAAGAATTGATTTTAATTTTGATAAAATTAAATAATTGGATCAATTCTTTACGACCTATATCAATTGTAGATGTTCGACCTAAAATTTCAAACCTACAGCATAATATCAAAATTATTAACTGTATGTTAAATATCTGGTTAGAAATTTCGTGAATAAAAAATAAACAATATGTTAGAGTATCTTATACTTTTTCTTCCATTGAATCAATAAACAACCTAAATATATTTAAACTGAGTTAGTACGAGAGACTACAATCTTTTGTTTATGAAAAAAAAAAACAATTTTTTCTCTTGCATAAACATAAAACCTTGAGACGGCTAAACCTGCCGTGTTAATATTGGACACCAAAATGGCATTTCTGGACATATAATTTTCATCTTACATTCCCTTCAAAAGATGCTAATGATTTTGATTTTATTCTATATTGTATTTACTTTTTGCTTCAAAGAATTACCTAACATGTTCTGTATACAATTTTGTATTGCTGAGAAAATTCCTCTTACATTGAAACTAGGTCATCTAAACAATGATATATGTATCTATAATTGCCTATTCAAGCCACTATAATACACTATAATCTATCACTTACTAACAAAAAGGAAACTTACTTCAAATCTCTCGGCGTCGTTCTAATAGCGACATACCACCACCACCAGTTGAAAGCGAAGAGGTACACAACCACAAGTACAGCCAACACTATCAGGCTAGTCTGCCAGTCCTGGAACACCCAAGTCACAGCCACGGCAGCAGCCAAGGCTCCAAGTGCAAGAATCATGGTTATGATCTTACACCACGAAGTGCCCGAAGAGTCGTCACTATTTTTTCCTCTTTCCAAATCTGCACTGTTCGATTTTGCCTGTCATTACAAATAAATCTAATTAAGTAGTGACACACGGCAACAAACAGCGTTGTTATCATAAAACATTTTGTAATTCCGATTAGATAAACCTAGCGTTATTAGACTTCGCGCCCAGAATACTAAATTTACATTAATAGTTACTTCCGCTGTATAAAGACCGATTTGTAAATAATTATCTATATTTATTAATAACATATGTAGTTTGCTTAAATCGATTTTATTTTAAATAATAAATTTTATATACACACCTCATGTGTCTAAGTGTACTTAATATTTCTAACAGCACGCGACTTGGGTGATTATATTCGTAATTAAAATGATCAATTGATTTATGTTGTTATCTAGCTTTTACTCGCGGCTTCGCCCGCGTGACTGGGATATGTTTACTGACTGGGATAAAAAGAAGCTTATATCCTTTTCTATCCCACATAGTACGTGTATACCAAATTTAATAATGATGAGAGGAGAGAGAGAGAGGAGACGGATTGCTAGTAATGCGGACTACCAGTTCCATCGCTAGCAATATTAGGTCGACCTCCACATGGGGACTCCAGTGGTGACCCCTAGAAACAATCGTGTTGAATTTCAGATGTATTCGTCACGGTGAGCTAACTGACCTGTCTGTTAATTCTCATCTATCATCCCTCACTGGGGCCCCGTCAGCGTAAACCGTTAGCGTAGACGAGGTTAACATTCAATTATCATCCATTAAAAAAAATCATAATGGTTAAGTGTAAAGACGCTATAAAGTAACAAACAAACAAACTCATTTACACATTTATAATATTAGTAACGTTTTTATCATTTCCTAACCTTTGACAGTGGATAATTTGTAGTATAAAAGTGCGAGCACTTCATAAACTCGCAGATAAAGTGTAATTATTTTGATAACAATCAAATTGTGTATATATTTTTCCAGCTTAAGTAGGTAATTAAGTACATAAGGTGCTTACCATTTATTTGCGTCATTTATTTATGCATCGCACTATTATTTTTACATGTATATATATTGCGTCTATACAAGTTCATTGGAAATAAAAATAATTTAAAAATATCCAGATTGAAATATATTTCTCTAATTCATGACCTTTTCAATAACTTTTCCAAAATGTACTCAGTACATGAGTATTTTTTAATGTGTTTTTTTTTAATGCTGTTTTGTTATACAAAATATTGTATTTGTAGAGATAAAAGTTGAGAAAAATATATAGGGTTACAAGGATTATAATTACACATACATATATTATTTAAATATTAATTTAATAAAATTACGCATTAATATTTCTTCATCATTATCCATTAACCATCCACTGCTGGACATAAGCTTCCCCCATAGACTGCCATAAAGAACGGTCCCGAACCACCTGCATCCACTGACTCCATGCAATGTATTTTAGGTCGTCACTCCATCTAGTAGGGGGTCGTCCTACACTGCGTTTACCCGTACGCGGTCGCCACTCGAGAACTTTTCTTCTACATAGTTTTAATTCATCAAATCAGCCGTACAGATACAAAATTATTTCGATAAACATATGAGTAAATACGTAGCGCGTACGTTTTACAACTGTTGAAGCTACTTCTGTGTACAAGTATTCAATATAAATTATGCAAAACATTTCCACACAAAAGACTGTAATGTAAATAATTTCAATGTTGATTTTCAATGTTCACAGGTCGAAAAGGCACAGTTTATGCTTAATTTAATATTCAGCGTATAATTCAAATTAAAATAGAAATACTAATAAAACTTTATAACTGAAAATATTCACTAATTAGGTATACCTTTTTTTTCTATTTTTTTTTAACGATCAAACGTTGGGAGTACAATAACAATTATTACATTATTATCTTAATTAATATATCCAAGTTGCGTACTTACTCATTTTTTTATACAACTTAGCAACGCAAACAAGCTAACGGGACACCTGATGGAAAATGGTAACCGTCGCCTATAGACATGAACATTATATATATACAAATTATTAAGTAGTTGCGTAAGTAATCTTTATTTATTGGATTAAAAAATAAAAACCTACTTACCACCTATTTTAAACATATTACGAATATATTGTACAATAAAATACAATAAAATATGTATAATACATATAATACATACATATAATAATAATATACATACATATAATAATATATATACCAGAGACTTTGTACAAAAGTCGATTGCTTGGGTACCTCTGTCCTATTCGTGTTTCTACCGTGAAGCAGTGTGTTGCATGGCTGTGTTTCGGTTTAAAGGATGGGATATGGCATGAATTTACAGGGTACAGAGGAATAACACCTGAGTCCTCACGAATGGCAACGCATGGGGGGTATCATGGGCGAAACAGAATACTCTGTTATGTCCATGGTACTGCTTATGTCTATAGGCGACAGTTATCACTTTCCATCAGGTGGGCCGTCAGCTTGTTTGCCATTCTAAGTTGTATAAAAAAAAATACAAATTAAAATTAAAAATCATCATTATATCAGCCGTTAACGGTTCGCTGCTAAATATAAGCCTCCCCTTTAAAGGGCTTTGCCAGTAGTCAACACACTTGACAGACGGGTTAATAACCGCAACTAGGCAATGATAATGTTTTAAAAGAGATATTGTTACCCATCCCTCGACCATTACGTCGCCTTTTACGACACCCACGAAAAAAAAGATGTTAACTATTCTATACCGGAACCACACAGTGAAAATAAAAAAAATAAATATCTGTTATCACTTATGGGGGTAGTTAGGTGCAATTTTTGACAGTTACCATTATAGGGAACTGATGAACATAGCACCCAATATGCCCAAATTTTATAGCGCACATTTGAATCCAACGTGGCAGGGAGAAAGCTTACCGTAGTCTCTCAAATTGATTTTCTTTTATAATGGTGTTTACCATCGCGATTATTAATCAGAACTATTAATAGAACTGTTTATTGATGGAAGAAAAATTTATAATAATGTAAAAAATACGACTCACTATAGAAATTTGAAAAAAAAATTAAAGTTGTATTTACCTGTGTGTTCTTGTTTGTATCAGTCTTGTTCGCGTTATTGTCGACAGTGACGTTGTACTTTGACATCGTAGTGTATGTTACTGAACTTACTAAAATATACCTAACTTATTGTTCGCAATAAGTTATTACATTAACGTTGTTCTTAGATCCCCACCGAACGTCATTCTTGTTACAATATGATTTGCTTATATATTCTCATAGAAATACCTGGAACAAAGATAGAACCGATTAAATAGAATTGAAGTAATCTTTATTGAAATAGACATGTTTACAAGCTCTTTTAAATCGTGTTTTTTTTTATGATAGTACTGTTGCTTTCGGGATGTTGTTATCTGCTGAGAAGAACCCGCAAGAGAGTCTACAGTTACTCTTTTCAAATTATTATGTACAAGATATCTTTACATATGCATATCTCCAACGTCTACCTTGTCTGTTAAATCAAATCAAATATCAATTGTTATAGATATTAATTGATAAAACAGTCATAATATAATGTTAATTTAATATATAATTTGTTTAATCTAAAACTGACCATATATTTTTAACATTAATATAATCATCTATCCTGTAATATATCTTTTTAAAGAGAGTTATTTTTACAGAAGATTTAAGTCGATTAATATATAGTACTATATCATCTAAACTTTCAACCCTGTAAGGCAGGTCATTTACATAAACAAAAACAAAGAAAAGAACCTAAAATAGAGCCCTGGGGGTACCCATTTTAAATCAGCTCCTTTTGATTTTATGCCGTCACATTCTAATTTGAATTATATTTTTTTAAATATGACTTGATACATATTTTGCTTACATATAAGTACAATTTACATTATTTGCGGGATATTTTATTGAAAAATAGCGAATTATTTTTAAAAAGTGACCAACACCTATAAATATCAATGACAGCATTACAAAATAAAAAACCGGTCAGGTGTGAGTTGAACTCACACGCCGAGGTTTTCACATAAAAATATATAAATGTGAGATAAAAAAAAAAGTTGATTACATTTATCACACTAAATAAACACCTAATAATAATTATTATTAATACTACTGTTCGTAATTTGAAATAAAACTGGACTGTATAACTTTGGTTTTGGAAATTTTTTGATAATTTCTCAAAAATTGCTAATCATAAATCGTTTTAATTTTCCTTTAATATACCTTTACAAACTGTAATTACTTCAGATTTTTTGATTCAGACACTTTGAAAACCAGGGGGTGGGATATTTTTTCCCATATTTTATGATAACCCACTTGGACTAGTAGAATAATTTTGAAATTTTGAGTACCCCTTCTGCACTTCCTAGTAAAGAAAATAAAATTATATTTTCAATTATTTCCACTACAATATATGAGGGCTAACAATACATAACTATTACAAATTTCAAATCGATAGCATTACCTGAAATATAGCATTGTAACAGACGGACGAACAAAGTTGCGCCATAAAAGTTCCTTTAAATCTTTTTGCTACAGATCCCTAAAAGTAAGTAATTTCTCATTTATAAAAGTGGAGAGGTTCGTTAGTACCTAAAGAGGAGTAACGGTCCCATTGCTAGAAGTAACCTATCTATCAGATTAACCTCCGCCCAGTATCCTTTGGCAACCATCGATCATTCCTCACAAAATGCTGTTACAATATGCTTTTAGGAAAAAATACATTAAATATAAGAATCGTAATTTGTAGATATTATTGTAGATATCAAACTACAGAGATAATTGGAATAGGTAAGTTTACGTTTTTCATGGGATTACAAAATATATTAAATACGTGTCCACGTAATTTGTAAAAAATCATCAAAATTAAGTACTAGTATTTGCATACTTTGGCTATAATCTTTGGAATAATATTGAGTTTTCCGCGTTGGTACTGGTATATTATATAATATATTATATACCATATAATATACTGGTATAATAATAAATAAATTTGTAACTAAACGTGTTTAGAATATCAAACCAGAATTTAAACAGCGTCTAGCGCCTGCACTATTATAATATCATAAACGTACACCTTCGACAGTGGAAGATAACGTCTACGTTCACAATAGTTTCCTTCAGTCACAACGTTTTTTCAACGAACATTAAAAGAGGGAGCTTTGCTATTAATCTGTATTTATTATGAATGTGTTACATGATTACGTTGCCAATTTGAAAGGGTGTTCACCCGTACAGATCCCTTATTAATCTTATGACTATTAAGGCTGTTTGTTTTACCTTGCAAAGCAAATATTACTAGATTCGTACCAAAATCTTGATGTAGACAAACGTTTCAGCGTTCTGTATTCAAATAGGTATTTGAATTTAGAATAATATATATATATATACGATATATCGTCAGTCATCAAAAAATTTTATCACTATTGAGTTCATTATTTTTTGAGGAGTAAATATACTTATAATAGAACAATACCAGTATTATTCCCATACAAGATTGAACAAAGAAAAGAACTCACGCCACGAACATGCATGACGGAAACCATCTGTAATGAAAGTGAGAGGCAATGGCCTTTTGACTCTATATAAAAACCGATAAAGTTAGTGTATATACAACAACACTTTGGATTCCGTATAGATACTTGAGGAATGTGTTTTTCTGTACACGACCAGAATATTTAATTTGAATAGACAGACATTTATCAAAACAGTAAAATATATTGTGGTTATTTGTAATTATATTTGCATAATTATTTTTCTTGATGAATAAAGTTTATTATTGCATTGCTTAGTTAAAAATTGTTGATACATAATAAGGTAATAAGGATATATTTAAAAAGATACAGAGTTTATGTTTTTATTTTGTATAATATTTCAATCCCAATAATTCACGGATGCCTAAATCGCAATTTAATTTTAATTAAAATTAAATTAAATATGTTTTTAGCATATATGTCACGTCTTACTTCTTCTGTACATTATATGTATATGTATATATATATATATATATATATATATATATATATATATATATATATATATATATATATATATATTATACTGTATTTATATATATATATATATATATATATATATATATATATATATATATATATATATATAATAAATTAGACCTATCACGAGTCTGTCTTAAAACTTTCTTTTACAGGTCTGACTACAAAAATTATCTCTTATTATATAATATACGAGTAATAAATGCTAACAGTAATTTACGTATAAGTAAATGACCTCAATCATATAATATAAAATGACCTCTTAGCATTATATTTTTAAACAAAATAAAAACATAAAATGCAGGGCTCTGACGTAATGTACTTCTATAAAAAACCAATGAAAGTGTAAATTATAATTAAAACGTAACCCACTAAGGGTATTGTACCTGTATTCCGCTTAAAAACATTTTCCTTCATATAATGATAATATGACGTCAATGTGGTAACATGTTGAACGGAACAGGTATTTACGTTCAGAGTAATTCCTTTTAACCTTTCCATTGCAAATAAAATCGGTCATAACGTAGATACAAGAATAATATTGATTCTTAGGACAGGATGTTAAACATCTCTGATTGTTTAACTAAACGATTCGGTTACGAAACATACCAAGCCTTTGGTATTTCCTAAGCAAAAAATTTCCCGAAGTATAATTAGTACAAAGTCGATTTTCAATTATTTTGTTAACTAAATGTTTATATTAATTTGCATTGGATAGAAATTAAGTGCATTTATAATTATTTTAATGACGGGCTTTTGTGTTTATGACATAACGGACAGAATTGTCGTAAATTGCGAAACCCTCAATGCAGAACATGCAAACGGTTTTTGTTTGTATAGGCTGTATTGTAGTAAATACCATTATTTATTTATATGCTTTTGTACATTCACTTATAAAATACATAGACATTAGGTTATACTAAAATGTACAAAGGCGGACTTATCCCTTCAAGAGATTTCTTCCAGTCAACCTTGAGAACTGTAAAGAAGAGAGTACTTTGGATTTGTATGTAAAGCGTAATATATACGATACATAAATAATATGTCTTTCATTCACTAAATATAAGAATAAAGACCTAAATATTTTGTATTTAATTTCTAGATTATTTATACTTGTATCTAGATGGAATGTTAAATTACAAAAACGGTCAACCAACTATTGGATGACGTGTTTTTTTTTAATAAAACAAAGCACGCTATATTTTGATATTTCTATTCAAGCACACATGACTTTATGATAAAAATTAAAAACAAAAATAAAATGAAAAATCTTAAGTTAGTTTTGGCGAAGAAATTGTAAAGTGACTCTATCGAAACATTATAAATTTTAAATTAACCTCCATAAAATATCTGATTAATATTAATCAATAATTCTTCAAACTTTCTGTAAAGCGGTTTACGATAGCTTCTCGGAACTAATTGATTTAATAATAGTTCTTATCATTACCTACCACTTTAAATTCAATTCAGTAGATTTTCAGTAAATACCAATATTATTTTGTGAATTTTTATTTCACACAAACCGTTGACGGTCGCAAGTTTGTTTTTGAAGGACAAAATCCTCCTTTGTATTCTTCAAGGACTTGTTAACGACTTCGTACCCATTGACTTTATTATTATTATGTATTTGTTTTGAAGTAAAAAATGCATGAACTATATAAACCACTACGAAATTTATATCAATAATTTTATATTACCAGGTGTGTCATATACAGATATGTACGAGTATAATGATACAGAATATCTTAATTTTATATTATCTGTAATATATGTTAAATAGATTTAAAAATACATATTTTTCATATACTATAATATATATAATGTACAAAGATTTAATACTATACCTAATGTAAAGTAGAATTTCGATATATATAATATAAATTTATTAATTTAGTTTATTCCTTTTCTTTGAGGACATAATCAGTTATTTTTTATAATTTCGTCAACGGTTGACGAGTAAATAATGCCATATAAATGCATAGCGTTAATTTCGTTATAGATATGAAATTTAAATAACTAAATAAATATTTTATTAACTCAATTATTTTCTCAAGAAGAATAAACATTACAAAACTAAAGGTGGAGTCTACTCAAATACAACAGATCAACGATTTAGGTTCTTTCCTGATTTCATAGCGAAATAAGTATATAAATAGGGTACACAAATTAAATATCGAGTCTATTTACTTGGGCTTTATGTACTTACTTAAAAGGTGTTTTGACTAGAATCATACTGCATACAAACTTCATGTTTCAAGCATATATACTTATTAATGCATATTGACATTTTTTTTTTAATTTATTAATTTTATAAATCTGCGCAGACGATAATCATTAATACCTAATATCTACTAAGGAGAAAGTCTGATTTTGCCTCACAGGAACACGTGGACCCCACGTACACAATATTTAATTTATCTGCACAAAACAATGCTAGGGTTGACAATATAATAAAAGTTATATGACTTTATATATCAAGCATTGAAATATACTCTGTTATCAATGTATCTTTAACAATGTTATCAGTTTATTAGGAACAATAATCATTAAATTATCAATAATTAACAAAATGGTCCAAGCATGTCGTTTTGGTTATTTGTAATGGATATATTACAGTACATCTACATTTAATTGAATACAATAGTCTATTTGTAAAGTTAAATTGGAAGCCCTACGCAATGCTCAAAGCAGACAGAAATTCACCTTCTGCATTGACGCGTCCGTAAGTTCGACGTTGATACACATTAATTCAATTTTGACCTGTCACTCTCGCATACATTTGGGCAGTATGAAGATGGTCCATTTTTATTTATTTAAGCTGGTTTTTACGTCGTACTTATTGCCCATCGTATAGGTTGTAACCTTATTATATATATATATATATATATATATATATATATATATATATATATATATATATACTTGTGCACATAATATATTTTAACGTATATTTAATATTATTAATAAATAAAATGAGTTTTTACGCATTAAAAAGATGCAACAATTATAAAACAAAATAAATATAAAAGTTTTAAAGAAAATATTCATAAATATTTATCACGCAAAATTGTATGAAAAAGTTTGGCCCATTTTTCTTGAAGCATTTCTATGGTGACCCTCTATTTATATAATCTAAGGTAGCATTGCACAATTTCATGTTGCACTTTGATTGAGAAAATATGTACAGAGTATTGTCCATCGTCTACACAGGCCTTAAGCTTATATAATTTTTTACTAAACTGCAAAATGAAAAAGGTGATATAAGTACTACATCCGTATCATTAACGCAACATATAACCTAAACGACTTGACGGATTGTAATAAATGGGAGTTTCGTCTTAATTATGAAAATGTTTTATGCTAATGACAGCAGTAAAAAGTTAATATACTGTCATATCTATGGAGTCAAAATGTTTAGTAGACTTCTATTATGAGTAAATACTTAGAATTTTTTTTATTATACTTTAAATGATCCCTTGTGATCATTCTTTTCCAGTGAGTGTCGTAAGAGGCGACTAAGGGAGGGAGAGGGATTGGCAGCAGCATCGCTTTTAAAACATCTCCAAAGCCTAACTGCGGTTGCCAATTCACGTGTTAACTACTGGCAAAACCCCCCAAGGGGGAGGTTTATGACCACCAGTGAACAATTAAAGGCTAATATGATATGATGATACTTAGAATGGCAAACAAGCTGATGACTTATTAGACGGAAAATGGTAACCGTCACTTACATACATGACCAGCTGCATGGATATTACAGAATACACAGAGATGGCCATCCCTCATACCGTTTACATTACAGGATATGAAAGTATAATACAATTCCTGAGGATCAGTAATTTGTAATTTCACTACCATATCTCACCCTAAATTATAATAGTACGGAACACTTAGTCGATAGTTTTAATCACAATTGTCTGCACAATATATATGATAAAATATTATATATCTAAGATTACACAATATTATAGAATAATATTATACAATTTTATATTGTAATTTTATATTTTATAGTATAATATTATACAATCTTAGATACAGATAGTAAATATTAACATCGATGCATTTTATACCTTTCAATTTCGAAATTATAGATGCAGTGCTGTCGAAAAGTGAAAGTGTATGTGACTTCTGTTTTCATTTTGGTAAAAAGAATGTACGTACCCGAAAACGAAATAAATTTTTTACACTATTTTTATATAGACGTATTAATTTTTTTAATAATATATAATACAATAATTGTTATCATAACACGTGTAGTATATGTTAACTCAATTAAAAAAAAAAACACTATACTTTCTGCTGTGAATCAAAATTTTCTTATGAAATGAAAAAAAAAAGAAATAAAGCTCTTTGCTAAGTGATTTTGATACTCGCCATAGTAAAAATCTAGATTAATAAATATTATTATTAATGTGTTTTTTTCATTGTAAGAAAAAAAAATATTCCGAAGGTAGTAAGAAAAAAAAAATATTATGAACATAAAAACATTTTACATTGAAATATATAACACAACACGGTGAAACCTGATAATTACACTAATCTTATCAATATTCTGATCGATATCCCGATCTTTGAATAACCAAACAATAAAAACCTTTTAAAAGATCGTTTCTTAAATTGAACCGACCACAATCGAAGCCAGGGCCTTAATTGTGTAATGTACACCGTACTTTCTGCGCCACATAAGTCTAGATATTTTGTAAACATATTTTTAAAAACTTACATTTCATTTATCAATATGTCAGTTGATTTACCAGTTCAATTGTACCGGTTGTCCTTAATAAGGGACATTACCAAGAATGACAAAAGAAAATTAAATATTTCGGATGCATGTTGCAAAATACATACATTTTACGGATATTATACTACTATAATATACTACTAATAACTAAATGCAAAAATGAATTTGTCAATATTTAATTGTTAGCAACGATAAAGTAAGCGCCTGTATAAATTGAATGAGGTAGATTTAAGCAAAAAAAAAAAAAAAAAGGGTATAATAAACTCTTCAAAAATTTCATGCTTATATAGGTTTAAGGAAATGATATTACTAGTACTATAAAGTTACAAGTTGTAAAAAAACATTACTCACATGCATTCGTAAAATCCATCTGCTTTATATGCGTAGTACGTACGCAAGTCAAAGACATGTGCGAATAACGGCTTTGTCTTAAGTACTTGGAATAGGTAATTTATTATGAGTTATGATAACCCTCCAATAACTGTTACTAAGTATTTAAAAATGAATGTTTGTTCAAGTATATAGCTTTATACAATTGTACATTATAAAAGTACACAATAACAGTAAGTCTACTACAATTTTAGATAAAAGGTAGCATAGAGATACTTGGATTGGTGTCTTGACGAAAGAAATTGGATAGTAGGTAGTTAGCAAAATATTCATGATTCATTTAATAACTGTAAAAGTACACAATAACAGTAAGTCTACTATAATTTTAGAAAAAAGGTAGCATAGAAATACTTGGATTGGTGTCTTGACGAATGAAATTGGATACCTAGTATTTTTTTTTATACAACTTAGAATGGCAAACAAACTGACGGCCCACCTGATTGAAAGTGCTAACCGTCGCCTATAGACATGAGCAGTACCATGAACATAACAGAGTATTCTGTTTTGCCTATGATACCCCCCATGCGTTGCCATTCCTGAGGACTCAGGTGTTATTCCTCTGTACCCTGTAAATTCACGCTATATCCCACCCTTCAAACCGAAACACAGCCATGCAAACACAACTGATTCACGGTAGAAACACGAATGGGACAGAGGTACCCAAGCAATCAACTTTTGTACAAAGTCTCCCTCTGTAGGTAGTTAGCAAAATATTCATGATACATTAAATAATAGAAATATATTAGAATCTATTTAATATTATTGTTATAAATTGAGATATCTATCTACCTAAATTATATATCTACGTGCCTGTTTACTACTTATGAGTATTTACTTATTTATCTTCTGATTTCGCCTTTCAGATATAATATTTGAAGACTGATATGTTATGTTTCCATCGTCGTCTACTTTTTTGCAAAGTCTCTCTCATCGGTTTTTCTAATGACGTGCAATATGTAATCAATGTTAGTGGTTATTTAATTACTAATTACAACTATTAGGGATTTATTAATGGTTTTCTAGTAATAAATATAGAAATTTGCCTGTAGCCATCCGAAGGTCGTGTCATTTATATAAAAAAGATACACATACGCATACCTACCAGTGATTATGATAATTTTCGATAGATTATCTTAATGCTGCGTATTTCAGGAGAATAATAATATAGAATTTGATTTACCTTTCTTTTTCATTTAATTATTATTAGCTGTACATCATAAGTATTATAGTTCCATAGAAACTGAATATTGTATTATTGTGCCAATGATAACTCTGTCGATCTGTGTGCCTTGCTCACTATTAAACGAAGTTAGTACTTGAAATTCTCATAAAATATTTTGCGTTGTCAAATAATTCACAGAAGTAGCAAACAAGCATACGACCCACCTAATGGTAAGCGATTAGCGTAACCTATGCACGCCTGCAATATATTACGCGTACGTTATAAACCCTCTTTACGCCTTTTTTAAAAGTACTCCATACTGTAGCCGCTTGCAAAATCACAACAGGGAGTCATTCCATAACTTGAACGTTCGAGGGAAGTGACATCTCTGAAACCGCGCCGGACGCAACCATCCAGGCACCAAGGTATGGGAGTAATGTAAAAAGATAAGGTTATATCGTAACTTAGTACATAGGATACTTTATATACTAATTCTCGCGGGTAAAACCGCGGGATACAGCAGTTAAAAATACTTGGTCCATACGAAGTGTCAACGATTGTCAACGCAATACAACGAGGGTACACCGGGTGACGCAAGATGTTGCATTCGGCAGTGGACCGTGCCGTCAAGCCGTGCAGTAATAATAGGCTTCAACCTCTATATTTTTATAACTCTAACTGCGAATAGTATGCGGTTTTACAATCACAAAAACTTAAAATTTCGTCACACATAATATGACAAGTATCTATTTGCTGTATAATATTTTTTTAATGGATAGAGATAATGGTGCAGCTACCTGTGTTAATTGTAAACAGTAGCAGGGCACCAGTGGAAAATGCAACTATGGGGATGAAGTCAGGTCAGTTAACAATTAACTAACATGTTTAAGGCCTAATATCTTTCCGCCTTAAATACCTATATAACATATATGTTTATTGAATTTTATCACATTGATAAAAATCTTAAATTATCTATATTTACTAATATTTACCTATAGTAAAGGGTGAAAATTTACAGCGCCATCTAGTAACTAGTAGTAGATACTTAAATATTTTTTTGTAACTCATAATGGTATCAAGCTAAAACTTTGTAATAGTGTTTAGGATGAAATTTCAAAATATATTCTGTTGTCTTCATATATATAGATAATGCAGTCACAGGCTCGTTTTAATGTTTGAAATGTAAATAATAAAAATTTAAGTTTTCGGCTCCTCCATTATATCTAAACATACATGTTTACCAACGCTTTTAATCAAAATCATTTAATCTACTTAAAAAAAAAAATAAGAGAGTATGTTTCAAAAATACATACAGAGTAATTCAAGTAAGAATTTAATAAAATATAGCCTTAAAAATGATATTTCATATCAACCTGTCCACTGCTGAACATAAGCCTTCCCCATAAGGGGGATTCTGCCAGTAGTTACCACGCTTAGCAGACGGATTGCCAACCGCAGTTAGGCTTTAAATGAAGTTTTAAGAATAATGCTGCTGCCCATACCTCGATTATTGTATTCATTTAATCGCATCTTAGGACACCCACGGAAAAAGAAGAGGTAGCCTATTCTTTGCCTGGACCACACAAAAATGATGTTTACTGCATATTTAATAATTATAATGCTGATTATAAATGATATTTATAGTCTATATCATCAAACTACTCTAATTATTATTGTAGTTTCATGGAACAATGCACAAGAATGGCGTGATTATACTATATTACATGTACGGTTGATATCCATATAAAAAAAAATACGGACACGGTAAATTAATCTGTCCTCTATCGTGTCGCAAGTCTTCGTTATATAAACAGAAACAGCAGCGTATGAAGAATATCATAGACTAATCTGTGATTGTTGTGAAGTTGCTCGTGTCTTTAGGCGATGATTATCACTATGGATCAAGTGGGCCATCAGCTTGTTTGCCTTCTCGAGTTGCATAAAATTTTGCGCCGCAAAATAAAAATTACAGTCTCTGTTAACAATCCCACTATATTTAAGGACGTTCGTGACATTTGCTTACCGACATATGGCAATATTTTCAAAAACACTTTATAAACTTTGCCTACAGTTTTCAATATTTTTGACCGGTTATTTAAAAAATATTCTATCGAACTAATTCGCTAGCGAACTTAAATGTTAATCATATGCAATTGATTTAGTTGGAAAAAAATAAACTTGAAAAAATTCTAAGCAAAATATGAAATTTTTAGTGGTATATTTACTAGTATATGTAATGTATGTACTAGTAAATGCATATGTAATGTAGTATAAGTATATATGTATGTAAAATCTCTGAAATCATCAAGTAAAATAATTAATAAACGTTTTTCGTGTTATGAAAAACGGTCGAGGTCATAATGAAAATCAAATACAATACTACCTCCACTCGTAAGTAAAGACCTTGTCCGGTTTCAGGTTTTTAGTAGTAATATTAAGTTTAGAGCTAATTGTACACACATATAGGTCTGTACCGCGACTTCATATGCGTCTACACACATTTTTTTTATATTTAATGTACTGTTTTGGTTTCGTTACTATCTTATTATACTATATAAGCATAATCGGAAAAATTATATCAAGCCGAAAAAAATTATCAAAATCTGAAATCTTATTTTTACCTACACACATACTAAATCGATCACGCGACTGCGACTTGTGTGGAAAGTTCAAAAATTATTTTGAGATTTGGAATTTGTTCTTTGTGACAAGTTGGCTAGTTTTATAAAAATGTATATTCTAATATAACTAATCACCGAATTTTGGTTTAATATAAAGAATAAAGATGTATAGGAAAAAAATCACAAAAAAAGACAAAAATACCGATAATCGCCATTGGAAGTCTATAATAAATTTTAATTGTCTATTTACGTCTTGTTCCATAATCTGTCGTCATGAATATTTTGTCATAACTATATACTTTGCTAATATAAATACCTATTGTCATTATAATCATTCATTAATCGTGTCGTGATAGATAATTAACGTAAGTAGCTACGTATTACTAATTACTATCCGATAATATTATTATCTTTTCAGAGATTGTATGTTGAAGGTCCTATGATTATATTTAAATATAATTTGCAGCTTATCTTATATCCTTATTCGAAGGTTATACTAGTTGTATCCCACAGCTTCACACGTGATCATATTCTAATATTGAATAATCCAAAACCTTCTTCAAGAAATGAGCTATTGAATGCAAAAAGAATCTTTCAAATTCGACTATTAATTCCAGAGACTAACGCGTACAAACAGACAAACAAATTTCCACGTTATATATTAGTATTTACTTTCTTTCACCTACGTTTAATGCAGATTTTATCCGCGACGATTATATTGATTGCTATTTATAAAAAATAGCCAATAATTTTCTGCATCCTAAACACTGATAGAATGAGACGCTGAGGTGTAAAGAGAACAAAAAAAAAGCAAACTAGGACTAGTTTTTAACTACGACTTCCTCCGCATTGATTGCGTTCCACAAAAAAATTTAACTTGTGACAAAACCAAAAATTTTGATTTTAAAACTAAACCACTGAATCGATTTTGATACAATTTCTTTGGAAACATTCTATAAGTAAGTAAGGAGCCGATTTGGGCAACTACTGGCCAAAGCCCCCAAGGGGCTTATATTCAGCAGGTAACAGTTAAAGGCTGATATGATGATAATGAATTTGTAAGTATGTCCTTTCATACAAAATGAAAATGTTTCAAATCGATTTATAACTGACAAAGTTATGAAGCAATGAATACAAAAAATACAATAGAATCGACAACCTACTTCTTTTGAAGTTGGTTGTTTTTTTATGGGTAAAAATGATATGGTAACCCCGCCTGCGCTAGCGGAGCACCAGTGGAGGGTGATAGATGAGAATGAAAACAGGCCAGTTAGCCCATCATGATGAATTCGTCAAGAATTAACCATGATAGTTTCCAGGGGGAACCGCGATGAGGTCGACCTGGTTGGGTATATTGCTAGCAATGGGATTCTCAGTCTCCATTACTA